AACCACTAGACCATTCAGGTATGACCTAAATCAAATCCATAATGATTATACAGTGGAAGTGAGAAATAGATTTAAGGGACTAGATCTGATAGAGTGCCTGATGTACTATGGATGGAGGTTCGTGACATGGTAGAGGAGACAGGGATCAAGACCATCCCCAAGAAAACAATGCAAAAAAGCAAAATGGCTGTCTGAGGAGGCCTTACAAATAGCTGTGAAGAGAAGCCAAAAGCAAAGGAGAAAAGGAAAAATATACCCATCTGAATGCAGAGTTCCACAGAATAGCAAGGAGAGTTAAGAAAGCCTTCCTCAGTGATCAGTGCAAAGAAATAGAGGAAGATAATAGAATAGGAAAGACTAGCGATCTCTTCAAGAAAATTAAGAGATACCAAGGGAACATTTCATGCAAAGAAGTGCACAATAAAGGACAGAAATGCTATGGACCTAACAGAAGCAAAAGATATTAAAGAGATGGCAAGAATACACAGAAGAACTATACAAAAAAGATCTTTACGACCCAGATAATCACGATGGTGTGATCACTCATCTAGAGCCAGACATCCTGGAATGTGAAGTCAAGTGGGTCTTAGAAAGCATCATTACGAACAGAACTAGTGGAGGCAATGGAATTCCAGTTGAGCTAGTTCAAATCCTAAAAGATGGTGCTGTGAAAGTGCTGCACTCAATATGTCAGCAAACTCAGCAGTGGCCACAGGACTGGAAAAGGTGTTTTCATTCCAATCCCAAAGAAAAGCAATGCCAAAGAATGTTCAAACTACTGCACAATTGCACTCATCTCACATACTAGTAATCCTCAACATTCTCCAAGCCAGGCTTCAACAATACATGAACCGTGAACTTCCAGATGTTCAAGCTGGTTTTAAAAAGGCAGAGGAACCAGAGATCCAATTGCCAACATCCGTTGGATTATTGAAAAAGCAAGAGTTCCAGAAAAACATCTATTTCTGCTTTATTGGCCATGCCAAAGCCTTTGACTGTGTGGATCACAATAAACTGTGGAAAATTCTCAAAGAGATGGGAATATCAGACCACCAGACCTGCCTCCTAAGAAAACTGCATGGAGGTCAGAAAGCAACAGTTAGAACTGGACATGGAACAATAGACTGGCTCCAAATAGGAAAAAGGAGTACGTCAAGGCTGTATATTGTCACTGTGTTTATTTAACTTATATGTAGAGTACATCACGAGAAACACTGGACTGATGAAGCACAAGTTGGAATCAAGATTGCTGGGAGAAATAGCAATAACCTCAATATGCAGATGACACACCCTTATGGCAGAAAGTGAAGAAGAACTAAAGAGCCTCTTGATAAAAGTGAAAGAGGACAGTGAAAAAGTTGGCTTAAAGCTCAACATTCAGAAAACTAAGATCATGGCATCCAGTCCCATCACTCTATGGCAAATAGATGGGGAAACAGTGGAAACAGTGGCTGACTTTATTTTTGGGGGGGCTCCAAAATCACTACAGAAGGTGACTTCAGCCACGAAATTAAGATGCTTACTCCTTGGAAGAAAAGTTATGACCAGCCTAGACAGCATATTAAAAAGCAGAGACATTACTTTGCCAACAAAGGTCCATCTAATCAAGGCTATGGTTTTTCCAGTAGTCATGTATGGATGTGAGAGACTATAAAGAAAGCTGAGCACCAAAGAATTGATGCCTTTGAACTGTGGTGTTGGAGAAGACTCTTGAGTCCCTTGGACTGCATGGAGATACAACCAGTCCACCCTAAAGGAAATCAGTCCTGAATATTCATTGGAAGTACTGATGTTGAAACTGAAACTCCAATACTTTGGCCACCTGATGCGAAGAGCTGACTCACTTGAAAAGATTGAAGGCAGGAGGCAAAGGGGATGACAAAGGATGAGATGGTTGGATGGCATCACTGACTCAATGGGCATGAGTTTGAGAGCTGGTGATGGACAGGGAGGCCTGGCATGCTGCAGTCCATGGGGCCGCAAAGAGTCGGACATGACTGAGTGACTGAACTGAACTGAAGCCTTTTAGAATTGGACTGGCTAGGTAGCCCCCATGCCTTTTAACTGGGAGGTGTGAAAATGTGAGGTTCATAATAGAATAGTTGAGGATTGAAGAATTACTTTGAGATGTTGAAGATAAAAAGTTTTTTGTTTGTTTTTATACATTTGCCTTTGGCAGATTGGTGTGGTGGGCTTCCCAGGTGGTTCAGTGGTAAAGAATCTGTCTGCCAAGCAGGAGATGTGGGTTTGATCCCTGGGTCAGTAAAATCTCCTGCAGAAGGAAATGGCAACACACTCCAGTATTCTTGCCTGGGAAATTTCATGGATGGAGGAGCCCGGTGGGTTACAACACAACTGAGTGGGCGTGCGTGCGCATGCACGCACACACACAATCAGCATGACAGGGCTTCAGCTTCAGCTTCCAAAGCACTCAGCACAGCTCACAATATCTGGCTAAGTGTTCTGAGGAAGGACAATAACAAAATGATGCAACAGTTATCAACCATCTTTTCTGCAATATTTTATCCCTTAAATGTTTGCTGAATTTTTACCAGGATAATCTAATTTAAACAATCTTAAAATGTACAAAATTCATTTCTTCCATGAAAACCTATGATCTGGAGCCCATCTGAACTTTTTGAGAAGATGGAATGATTCAGATCAAGGGATTCTGCAAACAACTTTTGTCATTAATGTTTATTTCAATTAAATGTGAATTCAGAATTAATGTAAGATAAAACCTCAAAGTATTTGGCAAAACAAATGCTATTATGAGTATGATTAAAATGTTTGTGTTACCTGTGCTATGAACTACAGACATTCTCAAAATTTAAAGCACATCCTGAAGAAAATAAAATTTTGATAAATTCTGTTTGTAAAAATCAATTCAGTAGTACAGTCCCCCTGGGGGAGAAGCAATCTGCCTTGTTACCATCAATTAAAAATCAAATGAGATATTTCAGTTGTGACCGTCACAGCACTATATAACACATAAAAACCTAAATCCTTTTGATCAGAGAATACAGTAAACAAAACTGGTATTTAATAGGTCTTATAGATCATGTAGTATAAAACATTTTCTTTTGCAAATAAAAATTTTATAAACTATTTCAAAAATGTTAGCAATTGAAAAATATGTTGACTGCAACAAAATTTCCAAACAGAAGTTCAAAAATCTTGGCAAAGCTATGCATGTAACATCAAATAAAATCTAGCTTTATTTACCAACTAAAATATTCATTAAAAACACATAACACTTCAACATTTCAATAGAAATTGCTGTTCTGTTATACATTATCAAGTCTGTTTTCTAAATAACTTGAAGATTTCAATTATAAGATAAATGAAGACTAAAAATAAAAACAATGCAAACTGAAGTGTTTTAGAGACCTATATATAAGTAATTTCCAAACACATAATTGTTATATGATTATAGTTTGGAATAAAATTTCCCTGAGCACTCTTTCTGCGTGGTTAGAAAAACTGATTTCTCCTGAATAATTCAATTTTTCATCCATCAAGTGTATCTGGGAATGTTTCCTTCCAGACATCTCTAAAGTAATAACTGATTATAACCATTTTAAGGGAATATTTGAATGGCTATAAATTAATGGTTGAGTTTTAGTGCCCTGAGAACTGTACAGTGGGTATCTTATACAACTGAAATGATTTACTATCCTAAAACTATCAACAGTTGTTTTAACAAGTTCAGAATCCAAATTTGTTTTAACAAATCCAGCTGTTTTAACTAGCTTCACAGAAGAAAGAAGTAATAATCAGCAATTCCAGACCAATAAATACATATTAAAAACTGAAAAAAAGAGTTGGATTAACATTGTGATTTCTCTGGAATAACACTGAAAAAAATTAAGCATTCTGCCAACACAGGAAATACTTCACCTTAAAACTTTACTTAATTCAGTTTTGAGATCTGTCACTCCTTAAAAGTCATGCAAACATAAAATTAGCATCACTGGAAATTTCATCACATAAATGGCAGTTCTCAATGCTATCACAAAATTTACAGCCTAAAGACATACTATAATCAGTGCACATGTACAGTACCACTACTAGATGTGTTCCCCTAATTTTTTAAGATCTTAAAAAACTCTTAGCTATTTGAGAGTTTAGGCCTCTTCTCTTTCAAATAAATAAAGTGTAACAAATACCTGGGAGTCTTACCTATGTAAATTTCTAAATACTAATTTTTTACATAGCCTAGCATCACACTGATAGCTAATGATAGTGAATGATGTCAGATTCGTGATCTCTGAGGAAGATTTCAGCTTCAGGACTAGGGACCGAGCTTGATCAACAAGAGCTTTTGTGTAGCAGAGTTCTATTAAAGTATAAAAAGGGACAGAGAAAGCTTCTGACATACACATCAGAAAGGGGAGAGTGCCCTCCACCCACAGTCTTATCAAGGCCTTATATACTTTTATCAGGCCCACTCCCACAGCAAACATCTTATCATAACAAGATTAGTCAGAAGGTTCTTGTTAAGAACATAAACATGTCCTAGAGCAAGATACATTGCTGTTACATAATCATTAGTACAGAGCTTAAGGAGAAACATACCCTTGAGTCATTAGCTCTGGGCTTAAAGAAAAACCGTTTTATGTGACTAATGTAGAAAAAGAATGTATGTCCTTTTCTCCTTGAGAGCCCCAGACCCCCTTCTCCTTCTCAAGGGTCCAGACCCCTTCCTCCTCCGTGAGAGCCCTGGACCCCTTCCTCCTTGAGGGCCCCAGACTCCTTATCAACCTACCAAAGAATGAATTCTCTCAAAACCAAAGGAAAATCATACTTAAGAAGTTTCATATTTATAATTTCATGAGACTTAACTATGTGTTTCCCTTCCCACTATGATTTACGTGGCTTGCAAGAATATTTAATAAATAACTTAAAACATTTTAGAAGTAATCATTCCGAAGATCTTTAAGTAAGCAATTTCAAGTGTCCAGAGGTATGTCTTCTGTCTTCTTATATTTTAAGGTGCTTTACACAGGCCGACCTTGACCAAAACGACTTTTAGACCTAGATTTTTTTAAACAGAAAAGAAGGTAAGAGGTGGTTCTAAAACAATGAGAAGTTGCCACTGCTTTACGTTAAGTCTGACTGTCACTGTCAAAATTTAATGAAAATTAATGTATCTCCATAATCCACTTTAAAAATCCTTGGAATGAAATGTATTTTGGAATTCAGGTATTTTTTAATTTGGTGGAGATAATATGTACATACATTGTATACTATGAATCTGGAGTAGTGCCCCATAACCAAACACATGAATATTTCTTCACTAATACAAATGAGCACTTATATTAAATGGGATAAATAAAAACTACAAATAGCACCACAGTAGCTCAGATCAGGTTTGAGTTGCCACAAATGTATGAAAAAAAACTTTTGGCTTTCTGAGTTTTCTGGATTTCAGAATTGCAGATAAGGCATTTGGATCTGTGGTATTAATGATCAAATTTCAGTAACTGCTAATCTTTCAAAGAAAATTTGTGCTGTAAAATGACACAGAACATACAAGTTAGATATTCTTTTTCTTTGGCCCCGTTGCACAGTATGAAGGATCTTAGTTCCCAGACCAGGAATTGAACCCTAGCCCCCTGCAGTGGAAGCATGGAGTCTTAACCACTGAACCTCCAGGGAAGTCCCACAGGTTAGATTTTATAAAGAGAGAACAAAAAATAAGAAAATTTCAATGATTTATATAAAGTAGTAACATGTTATCAATAAACAGCATAAAAATCCTGCTAGTTTGCAGTGGCACTACAGCTTACATTTGTCAGCTGTTGGCTCAGAACCGAGCTGACTCAATAAACAGAAAACTGATTTAAAAAAACTAAACTTTCATTAAATTTTGCCATCATGACCTTTTAAAGTCTTAACTCTTAAGTTAAAATCTGGTTCTGACTAATGTCTTGATGATCTAATCTCCAAACAAAATAAAGCTGAACTCAAATTATATGCTTCTAGTGTTCATATGATTTTTCCCTTAAGAAAAAAAAAAAAAACATCATCACGTCAAAGCTGGCATTCTGAATTCACTTCTGCTGATTTACCTTGTGTTTTTTTCCGAGCTGCTCTGCCGAGCACTGACTGGCACTGAGGCCTTGATTTGTGCTTCAAGCCTGGAATAAATCCCTCCTGCAAACTGTAAAGGAGCACAATTAAGTTACTATCTATATGGAACCAAGAGAAGCTCGGCTTTATTGAAACAGCATTACTTTTTAATTTAGAAGCAATTTTATTTTGATTTTTTAAATTAAAAAGTTTAACTCTTTGGAGTTATAATTTATACATACTATTTTACTTTAAAATTCACCCTATTTAGTGTACTGTTCTGAGTTTTGACAAATGCATCCAGTTATGTGAACACTTGTAATGGAGACATAACTCAGTTCCATCACCCCAAGAAAATCCCCTTTTAAGGCCAATGATTTGATGACTTTACAGTACAAATTCTGGCAACCATCAACTTTTGGGTTTTTTTTCTTGGCTGGTCTGTGTAGTTTACAGGATCTTAGTTCCCTGACCAAGGATAGAACTTGAGCCCTTGGCAGTGAAAGAACAGAGTCCTAACCATTGGACCAGGGAATTCCCCTACTTATCTGTTTTATGTCCCTATACCTTTGCATTTTCCAGAACCTTATATATATACAGAATCATATAGCTTACAGCCTCTTGAATAAGGCTTCTTGCACTTACCATAATGTGTGGGAGATTCATCTATGTTGCAGCATGTATCAGTAGCTCATTCTTTTTTATATATACCACAGTCTTATTCACTTATCAAGTAAAGGACATTTGGGTTGTTTCTAGTTTTTAACAATTCTAAATAAAGCCCCTGTAAAGATGTGTGAAATGATCTGTATGGTGAGTAAACATTAATATAAGAAACAGCCAAACTGTTTTCCAAAGTAGTCATTCCCTTTTGCATCCTTACTAGTTATATATGACAGTTCCAGTTGCTCTATATCCTTGTTAGCATATTAAAAAAATTTTTTTAGACATTTTAGTGGGTGTATAGTGGTATCTTGTTGAGGGATTAATTTACATTTCCCTAATGACTAAAAAGGCAAAGAGGCTGTCTCAGAAGGCTTTACTAACAGCTGAGGAAAGGAGCGAAGTGAAAGGCAAAGGAAAAAAGGAAAGATATATTCAACTGAATACAGAGTTCCAGAGAAAAGCAAGGAGAGATAAGAAGGCCTTCTCCAATGAACAATGCAAAGAAACAGAGGAAAACAACAGAATGGGAAAGACTAGACATTTCTTTAAGAAAACTGGAGATGTCAGGGGAACATTGTATGCAAGGATGGGCACGATAAAGGAAAGAAACTGTATGGACCTAACAGAAGCAGAAGGGATGAAGAAGAGGTGGCAAGAATATACAGAAGAACTATACAAGAAAGGTCTTAATGACCCAGATAACCACCATGGTGGTGTCACTCACCTAGAGCCAGACATCCTGGAGTATGAAGTCAAGTGGGCCTTAAGAAGCATCACTACAAACAAAGCTAGTGGAGGTGATGGAATTCCAGTTGAGCTATTTCAAATTCTAAAAGATGATGCTGTTAAAGCGCTACACTCAATATGTCAGCAAATTTGGAAAACTCAGCAGTGGCCACACGACTGGAAAAGGTCCGTTTTCATTCCATTCCAAAGAAGGGCAATGTCAAAGAATGTTCAAACTACTGCACAATTGTACTCATTTCACATGCTAGCATGGTAATGCTCAAAATCCTTCAAGCTAGGCTTCAACTGTATGTGAACTGAGAACTTCCAGATGTACAGCTGGGTTTACAAAAGGCAGAGGAAACAGAGATCAAACTGTCAACATTTGTTTGATCATGGAAAAAGCAATGGAATTCCGGAAAAATGTCTACTTCTGCTTCATTGACTACACTAAAGCCTTTGACTGTGTGGATCATAACAGCTGGAAAATTCTTAAAGAAGTGGGAATACCAGAGAACATTATCTGTCTCCTGAGAGACTGTTTGTGGGTCAAGAAGCAACAGCTAGAACCAGACATGGACTGGTTCAAAACTGGGAAAGGAATACGTCAAGGCTAAATACTGTCAACTTGCTTATTTAACTTTTACACAGAGTATATCATGTGAAATGCTGGGCTGGATGAATCACAAGCTGGAATCAAGACTGCCAGGGGAAATATGAACAACCTCAGATATGCAGATGACACCACTCTAATGGCAGGAAGTGAAGAGGAACTGAAGAGCCTCTTGATGGGGGGTAGTAAAAAGCTGGCTTGAAACTCAACATCAAAAAACTCAGATCATGGCATTTGGTCCCATCATTTCATGGCAAATAGAAGCAGAAAAAGTAGAAGCAGTGAAAATCACTGTGGACACTCCAAAATTTCATGGTGAAATTTTGACTACAGCCATGAAATCAAAAGATGCTTGCTCCTTAGAAGGAAAACTAAGCCAAACCTAAACAGCATATTCAAAAGCAGAGCTACCACTTTGCTGACAAAGGTTCATATGGTCAAGGCTATGGTTTTCCCAGTAGTCATGTATGGATATGAGAGCTGGATCATAAAGAAGACTGAGCACTGAAGAACAGATACTTTCAAATTGTGGTGCTGGAGAAAACTCTTGAGAGTCCACTGGACTGCAAGGAGCTCAAACCAGTCAATCCTAAAGGAAATCAACCCTGAATATTCCCTGAAAGGACTGATGCTGAAGCTCCAGTACTGTAGCCACCTGATGTGAAGAGGTGACTCACTGGTGAAGACTCTGATGCTGAAAAAGACTGACGGCAAGAGAAGTGGGCAGCAGAGGATAAGATAGTTAGCATGGCTGATCCAATGGACAAGAGTCTGAGCAAACTCCAGGAGATGGTGGAGGACAGAGGAGCCTTGGTATGCTACATTCCATGGGGTCACAAAGAGTAGGACAAGACTTAGTGATTGAACAACAATAATAATGACTAATGGCATTTTTGGTGGTGGCTCAGCAGTAAAGAATCTGCCTGCACTGCAGGAGACAGGAATTTGATCCCTGGGTCAGGAAGATCCTCTGGAGAAGGAAGTGGCAACCTGCTCTAGTATTCTTGCCTGGGAAATACCATGCACAGAGGTCACAAAAGAGTTGGACAAGAGACTTAGCAAAAACAAACAAAAAAAGATGCTGCCATCTTTTCCTGTGCTTCTTTGCTACCTTCTCTCATGAAGTCTATGGTTAATTTTTTGCCTGCTTCTTTTTATTGGGCTGTTTAGTTTCTCACAGTTTATGGCTTGTTTTTTCATTCTCTTAATAATGCCTTTCAAAAAGAAGATTTAAATTTTGATGAAATCCAATTTTTTTCTTTTATGGATCATGCTTTTGGTGTTGTAGCTAAGAAATATTTGTCTCACCCATGGTGATGAAGATTTTTTTTCCTGTTTCTTGTAGGGAAGTAAATTTTTCAAGAAAAGCATTAGGGGCAAAAGTTACTGTAAATATATAATACTGATACTAATGATGATACATAATGTTATAACTAATATGTAATTCAGTAACAGTACAGGTATTTGTTATCATTTTTATAGTAAGACAACATCTTATTTTAAAGATAACATCTAAGCACCGATACAGAGCTGATAAAATTAGCAACTCCAGGAGGTCACCTTCCACGATGAAGTCAATCTGTTCTTGGATACTATACTTTCAGTGACAATGTACTTTACTATCTGTGTTACACAGGTCTATGGGCCATAAGAGGTGGTGAAAAACTTTTATGTCAATGAATTGGCTAACTGGTACAGAATAAAAAAATATATTTAAAATTTACTCTTTTAAAATCATAAAGCATCTTTATACTTATGATGAAAATAAAGTAGGAAAGAGTACTAAGCAAGCACCATACATGAGTACGTAATCCTTACTTCTTTTGCTTCCTTTGACCTGACTCGATCCAGATCACCCAATCTCATCTTTATTAGGTGCCCAGTAATTTCAGACATCCGCCGCTGATCTGAAAGGTAAAAATTAATAAATCTTACTTTTTATGAAGATGTTTGATAATTTTTATTTCTTAAAGAAGACTGCAATTATTAAAAGTCCATGAAAACACCACTGTATATTATTTGCAGACACATACACCTATTTATCTTTGAAGGACTTTAGGCTTCGAGTGGCAAAATGGCTCATATGTATATAACTGGGCTGCTTTTAAGATGACTGTAAATCAGCTGAAGACATAGTCAGCCTTCTTGAAAGTGGAAGCAGTGGATGAAAGTCAGGCTGAGAGACCTCAGAATGATGGATGCGTGAAACCACACATTATCTACTGGGGTTGTCTAGTAATGAAACTCTGGTTGATGCCTAAGGGAATGTGCTAATTTTGGGCCTTATTCTAGTTGGAACCTTTAAAGCTATTCAGCATACTTCATAAGACTCCTATCATTGCTATTTATATCCAATTTGTACATTACCCAAATACTACTACTTACCATCTTCTCTTTGGGCATCTTGGTTGAATCTCAAGGATCTTGTGGCATCCCACTTATTCTTCTGCATACTTACACTATTGAAAAAATTAAACAGAAATCAGCATTGATGTTTTTAGAGTGAACATCTGACTGGATTAAGGAGTAATACTCACATGAAAGGAGATACATCTCTAGAAGTTGACTAAAAAAAAGTAGACATTAAGGCCCAATTAGAACATATTTACTGATTAGCATTATAGGTAATAACAAAAAAGAGTTTACATTTATTGGGTACAAGATACTGTACCAAGAGCATTACAAGCATTGTTTCATTGAAGCCCTGCAACAACCATGTGAGATGAATGCTATTATTATCTCTATATTAAAACAGTTTCAGAGGAGTTAAGAAACTTATCCAAAGGGAAAAAGACCAAGAATTAGAACCCGTTTTATTTATCTGACCTGGAAGCCCCCCACCTCTAATGCAGTCTTTTAGAATTCACTCATTCTGTGCCTGTGGTCCTTAACATGGAGATGAAAGTGCAATCCATCCCACATATACTGTGTGGAATGTGTCTCCACCCCAGCTTTGCACACATTTTTAGAATCCACAGTTCCTCTTTTAGCCAACAGTAGTTAATACTGTTCTCTTATTCCTACCTGGCTTTTTACTCCTTCCTTTGAAGGCATGAGGAAATAAGAATAATTTTAAATGGTCATAAAATATAATCAATTTTAAAAATTGTTTTATTTTTTGAATAAGTAATACTGGTTCAAAATTCAAGAAGTATAAATAGGACACATAGTAAAAAAGTTTCTGTCCCTCCCCCTAGATATTCAGTTCCCTTCCTTAGAGGCAACCTATTTTATCAATGTCTGATATAGCTTTCTACAGCTACTTTATGGATATATAAGAAAATTCATATATATTCCTTTATCTATTCTACATAAATGGTAGCATAATATACCACTATACATACTGCTCTGTACTTTTCCTTTTTTCTTCTTCTCTTATAGTTAATTTGCAACGGTGTATTAGTTTCTGGTATAAAGTGATTCAGCTTATATATATATATGTATATATACTGGAGTGGGTAGCCATTCCCTTCTCTAGGGGATCTTCCCAACCCAGGGATCAAACCTGGGTCTCCCACATTGCAGGCAGATTCTTTACTGTCTGAGCTACCAGGGAAGCCCATTATATATACACTTGTATATATTCTTTTTCACACTTTTCCATTGTAGTTTATTATGAGACGTTGAATATAGTCCCCTGTGCTATAGGATCCTGTTGTCTATTTTATTTACAGTAGTAGTTTGTATATGCTAATCCAAAACTTCTAATTTATCTTTCTTACACGTCACTTTCCTTTCTTCATGTGTCAATATACCCCAGAGATCTTTAATCTCAGTCTTTACAGAGATTCTTCACTCATTTTTACACTGCTAGCATTCCACTATGGTACCGTAGCTCTTCTTTTTCAGGTTTTTCCTGGACGTACCGGCTTACTTCTTAATACAACTTAAGAATAGTAATAATTAGAATAGACAATTTATAGTTACCTTCTCCAGGGCCTTTTCTTTCTTCTGACCACAGGGTGAAGACATCTGCTTCTTTGGTTGTTTAGTGAACTTCTTTGGCTTCTCCTTTTTCCCTGATAATAGAACGTCAGTGTTATCAGCCCATGCACTTGTCATATCCAAACAATAAAATCACTGAAAAAATAAAACACTGTTTTCAACAACTAAAAAATTACCTTTGGATAAAAAGTAAATATATGGAGAAATAAAACTAAAAGTGCTTTATAGAGGTTCATTTTTTTTCTTCTACTTGGTGAAAATCTTAGGGAAAAAAATGAGGGCAATGAATTCAAAGACCCAATGAAATTAAATGTAGAAAAATGTTGGAGAAATCACACATATTTATTTCCCTGAATCTAATGTGACAGTGGAGTCATCTTCTAATTTCAAATTTTTCAATATAAAAAATAACTGTAACCTAGAAAATCACAAATTGAGAAGGGGAGGAAAGAAGAGTTCACACACACAATCTTTAAAATGCCTTTGTTCACACAGGAGGTTGGGCTATGAGGTTAAAAATGGAGGTAGAACATAAATGATCCTGGGAAGATGCAGATCTGGGATAAACTGTATTCGAAATGAGGGCATTCCTGCAGTGAACATTTGGATCTTATTCTTGGCTGACAGTTTAGTGGAGAAAGGAGACAGACAAAAAAAGAGGGAGGGGAAAGAAGTATTTATCATAAAAAACAAGGTTGGAAGGTTGATAATAATACATTAGATTGCTATTGCCCAATTATCAATTATTTGTACACCATCTTTACAGTTTTTGCTCTATCTTAAAAAAGAAACTTCATCACTACCATAAATGAAAAACCTGTAAAATGTGCTACATAGAAGACAACCTTGAAGATAACAGAGTAAAGACAAAACAACATCTAGAATCTAGATGGATTTATTTGTGTGCTGGCTCTGGGCCCCTGACATGTGTCTCTCTGTTAATGTGGGAGATTAACAAGTGTTATGTTGCTAAAAATCCATGACAGGGTGGGCTACATGATAACAGCAGTGTGAAAGTGTGGACAATTCCTCCCCCCAAAATAATGATAAAAACAGAACAAAAATAGCATAAACAATCATCTGCAGGTACTGGAAAATAACCAAAGGAAGAGAGAAAGTTCATTGTTTACATGTGAAAAAAGCTCCCTTATCTGAGGGCACCTTCCCCCTCCTCCCCAGCTCAGGGAGGAAAATCATAACCTTGAGTTGCAGGGAGAAAATGACAGAGTTCAAAGCAACAGAGAAGCTAGGAATTAAAAGGGGAAAATTTGGAAACAAGAAAGAGATCTGAGGCCTAAAATGTGAACATGAACTATGCCCAAATTCTGAGCTGAATGTTAAACTATGCAAGTACACGGGAAACCCTAGGAAACTCAGCTAAAAAGGCAAGCAGAAACTAGGGTGGGGTGTTGAGTACTGCAAGACAGAACTGCTCTCTGTGAGAGGAGGCACGTTTCCCGTGCCTTTGAATGACTTCCCCAAACTGTTTTTAGCTTGAGCTTCTGAGAGTCTTGCTGGCTTGAATTATCACAGGTCAGACCTGGGACTGGAAAAACAAGTAGGAATCTAGGGGGAAACCCAAAGCAGGGCAACCACCAAGCAGGTGCACCCCCCAGTAAATTCTTTCCTTGGTTGACCACTAAATTCCCCAAACTGTCATCCTGCAGATGCTGCCACCCTCCATGGTGACTGCTGAGAAGTTGGGGGAATACAAGAAGCAAGGTGAACAAGGAAACAGGACTGGCCCCAGAGAGCTGAGGTACATATGAAAGAAATAAATTCAGTGAGCCCAAAGACTTGCATCTTCCTATACACAGAATGCTAAATTCCTTCACGTGACAACTGATCTTGATGTTCAGACTGCCTGCTCTATTTGTTGCAAACTTGACCTGCCTCTTGAGAAACCCATATGCAGGTCAGGAAGCAACAGTTAGAACTGGACATGGAACAACAGACTGGTTTCAAATAGGAAAAGGAGTACGTCCAGGCTGTACATTGTCACCCTGCTTATTTAACTTATATGCAGAGTACATCATGAGAAACGCTGGGCTGGAAGAAGCACAAGCTGGAATCAAGATTGCTGGGAGAAATATCAATAACCTCAGATATGCAGATGACACCACCCTTATGGCAGAAAGTGAAGAGGAACTAAAAAGCCTCTTGAGGAAAGTGAAAGAGGAGAGTGAAAAAGCTGGCTTAAAACTCAACATTCAGAAAACTAAGATCATGGCATCTGGTCCCATCACCTCATGGGAAATAGATGGGGAGACAGTGGAAACAGTGTCAGACTTTATTTTTTGGGGCTCTAAAATCACTGCAGATGGTGACTGCAGCCATAAAATTAAAAGACACTTACTCCTTGGAAGGAAAGTTATGACCAACCTAGACAGCATATTAAAAAGCAGAGACATTACTTTGCCAACAAAGGTCCGTCTGGTCAAGACTATGGTTTTTCCAGTGGTCATGTATGGATGTGAGAGTTGGACTGTGAAGAAAGCTGAGCGCCGAAAAATTGATGCTTTTGAACTGTGGTGTTGGAGAAGACTCTTGAGAGTCCCTTGGACTGCAAGGAGATCCAACCAGTCCATCCTGAAGGAGATCATTCCGGGGTGTTCATTGCAAGGATTGATGCTGAAGCTGAAACTCCAATACTTTGGCCACCTCATGAGAAGAGTTGACTCACTGGAAAAGACCCTGATGCTGGGAGGGATTGGGGGCAGGAGGAGAAGGGGACGACAGAGGATGAGATGGCTGGATGGCATCACTGACTCGATGGGCATGAGTTTGAGTAAACTCTGGGAGTTTGTGATGGACAGGGAGGCCTGGCGTGCTGTAATTCATGGGGTCGCAAAGAGTCAGACACGACTGAGCGACTGAACTGAACTGAACTGAACTGAACTGTATATAGCCTAGCGTCCCCCTGCCTCCATGGAACAGTTTTCTCAGAGCTACTGAGATGCTGTCTCCTGGGCTCAGCATCCTAAACATTCCCACCAGATAAAACAGCTCTCTACTTTCAGAATGTGAATATATTTTTTCAGTCAACAGTTTTGGCGACTATGAAGGAACCCAGAACAGATTTCTTTCCTCCACCTGAACTTTATGAAAAACCAGAGACATAGTACCATAAGAAGCTCACTAAACTACACAGGCTGGTGTGGCCTTTGAGGTGGGGGGCAGGCAAAAGCAGCAGCAGCTAGCAGGCGAAAAAACCTGTGCAGAGACACCAGCAGGGAGACAGATTTTGCAGTGTGACTTAGGCAGGTTAATTGCTTATAAGAACAAAAATCCCAACAATTCCTAGGAGAATAAAAGGTTTCTGAGTTGCACAAAGATAACCTACAGTATTTAGTTTTCACCCAAAAGTCATGAGATAAAGAAAATGAGAAGTATGATCCACTCAGAAGAAACAGTTAATAGAAACTGATTGAGAAGGCCAGCATGTTGGACTTGGGAGACAATAATTTCAAAGCAACTGTGACAGATATGTTCAAAGGAAAAATGGTAGAGAGAATCTCAACACATAAAGTACAAAAGAAGAACCGGGGGGAAATTCTAGAGCTGAAAGGTATAACTGAAATGAAAAAGTGAAAAAATGTACCAGATAGGCTCAAAAGAAAATCTGAAATGGCAGAAAAATGAATCACTGAATATGAAGTCAAGGATTAGAAACTATCCAATCGGGGGGAGAGATGACTGAAGAAAACACCCAGAGCCTCCAAGACTATCAAAAGGCCACAGGTATATTGGAGACCCAGAGAACAAATGTGAGAAAGGGGCACAAAAAATACTTAAAGAAATAATGATTGTAAGATAACAATTTATATATTCAAGAAGTTCAACAAATCCCAAATAAAATAAACACAAAGAAAATCACATCTAGGCATGTCATAGTCAAGCTTCTAAGTCAAAAATAAAAAGATAAATCTCAAAAGCAGCGAGATTAAAAGTGTACATTACATACATAATGGGAAAATTTTTATCATAAGTTTTATCATAACTTCTCAGAAACAATGGAGGCCAGACATATTTAATGACATTTTTAAAGTGCTGAAAGAAGGCGATATATAGATATATAGTTATACAGTTATGGCTGATTAGTGCTGTTGTATGACAGAAACCAACACAACATTAAAAGCAATTATCCTCCAAATTTAAAAAGAAGTGCTAAAAGAAAAAAGTTGTTAATCATGAATTATAAATTGAGAAAACTGTACTTCAAAAACAAAAGCAAAGTAAAGACATTTTCAGGTGAATAAAAACAATTCACTAGTGCACTTGCAGTATACCTGCACTACAGGAAATAAGAAGTCCTTCATGCTCAGCTGGTAAAGAATCCATGGGGTCGCAGAGAGTCGGACACACTGAGAGACCTTCACTCATGAATGAATGAATGAAAGAAAATAACACCAGATGGTAACAAAGATATAGAAACAAATGATAAACATGTTGGTAAATACAAAGGACTAAAGGTATATATTTTTCTTTGTTCCCTTCTCTAAAGGTTCTTATGTTAATATTCTACCTGGAGTAATTCATATTACATTTAAGTAGACTGTGATAGATTAAAAAGGCATGTTGAAATCTTTAGAACAATCAAATGCAAAGAAATATAACTAAAAAGCTAATAATTTAAATAATATACTAAAATTATTTTCTTAGTACAAAAAAAGCGGGAAAGGAGAAACAGAGAAACAAAACATTTGAGCCAACTAGAAAATGAATAGCAAAATGGCAAACCTAACACAACCATATCAACTAAATACATTAAATATAAATACAATAAATGGTCCAATCAAAATGCAGAGATTGTCAAACTGGACAAGAAAGCAATTTCCAACAATATGCTATCTACAAGATATATTCTTCAAATTAAGAACTCCAACATGGAAAATAAAAGGATAGAAGAAAGATAAGTCATTCAAATGGTAAACAAAACAAATCTAGAGTGATTATCTTAAAATTAAACAAAACAGACTTTAAGATAAGCAGTTCTACTATAAATAAAGAGGGCTCCCTCATGATAAAATAGTCAGCACACTATAAATGCATACATGCCTAGTTACAAAACTCAAACACATACTATGCCATGCCATGCCTGCTGCTCAGTCATGTCTTTGACTCTCTGAGACCCCATGGACTGTAGTCTATCAGGCTGCTCTCTCTATGGAATTTTCCAGTCAAGAATACTGGAGTCAGTTGCCATTTCCTACTCCAGTGGATCGTCCTAAACCAGGGATTGAACCCATGTCTCTTGAGTCTCCTGCATTGGCAGGCAGATTCTTTACCACTGTGCCACCTGGGAAACTATATCATGATAAAAGAGTCAATACACTGTAACTGTATATGTGCCCAGTTACAAAGCTCTAACCCATACATAAAGCAAAAGCTGACAGACTTGAAAGGAAAAATACATAAATTAACATGATAGCTTGAGATTTCAATACTAATCTCTTACTAATTGATAGAACAAGCAGTCAGAAAATGAGCACTAGAAAATCAAACTGACTTCACTCTACATTTATAGACTACTCCACCAATAACAGAATTCACATTGTTTTCATGCACATCTGGAACATGTGTCAATAAAACTTAGAAGGTAAAAGCACAGACAGTACATTTTTTTATCACAATGGAATTATATGAGAAATCCACAACTGAAAAGTATTCAGAAAATCGGAAAGTATTTGGAAATTAAACACATTACTGAGCAATACATGGGTCAAAGACAAAATCATGAGGGAAATTAGAAAATATTTTGTATTAAATATAAATGAAAACAAGACATACCAAAATCTGTGTTAAAAGCAGTGTTTAGAGTGAGTCTTATAGTTTTAAATGCTTATACTAGAAAAGAAAGTAAAAAATCAATGATTTAAGTTTCCATATTAAGAAGCTAGAAAAAAGAGGAAGTTAAGTCCAAAGTAAGTTCAAGGAAGGAAATAGTAAATATCAGACTGAAAATCAATGAAATATAAAATAGACAAAATACAGAGAAAGTCTATGAAATCAAAAGCTGGTTCCTGGAAAAGATCAATAAAACTAATAAACCTGTAGCTAAACTGATCAAGAAAAAAGGAATATAAAACACAAATTAACAATACCAGGAATGAAAGAGGGACATCACCAGAGATCCTTCAGATAGAAAAGGATAAGAAAATACTAGGAGCAACCTCATGCTAATAAATCTGACACTGACAATTTGGATAAAATGGACATATTCCTTGAGAGAAGTTGTCAAAACAGATTCAAGAAGAAATAGAAAACTTGAATAGCACTATATTAATAAAAGACACTGAATTCATAGTTAAAAACCTTCTGATAAAGAAAACTCCAGGCCCAAATGACTTCACTGCTAAATTTTATCATACATTTTAGGGCCAAAGAATACAAATACTACACAGATTCTTTCAAAAAAGGGTAGTGAACATTTTCCAACTTATTTTATGAGGTCAGTATTAACCTGATAACAAAATTTGAAGACATCATAAAAAAACTACAAATATCCTTCATGAACACTAATAAAAAATCTTTAACAAAGTACATACAAGCAAGTGAAATATAGTAATAAAGAGAAAAATGCCTATTGATGAAGGCCTAGATGCTGTGAAGCTTCAAGTTACCATGAAAATTTTTATGTCTAACAGAAAAGCAAATTATTTCTAATAGGAAAGATAACCCCAAAGATTATGGATTTACTGCCCTGTAGAACATTAATCAGTTTTGTATCTAATTTGCAATCTTTTTCTTAACATTCTTTTTTCAAATGCTTATAAATACCTGAGTAGTCAAATGCCTAACCCTAACCCTAACTTTTCTCTGCTATTTCTCTCACTAATGAGTTAAAAATTTTTGATACAAGTTCATTTTGCAGCTGTATAAAATAATGTTTTCAATTGTTAAAAAATCATACTTTGATGACTATTTTTATTAAATTATTATGTATTATTATAATATATTATTATATTATAATAAAATTATTGCTAATTTTATTAAATTAAATAATTATTTAATTATAATTAATAATTATTATTATTAAATGAATTTGAGTGTCATTTCAAATCATCTCAGGTATACTGATGTAGTTACACATTTTGAGAAACCCATTAAGTTATACCTGAAACGAAAACTCGGAGGATTATTTCTTAGTTATACCTCACTTTTTAAAAGTAACTTTATGAGTGTTCTGTGTTAGTGTCAGCATTAGAGAATCTTGAGGAAGCCTCTATTATTTTTTCCACATTGTAACCTACCATGTAGACTTATAAAGCCCCTTCCTCATCCCTTGCATTAAATCCTTCAGGATATAGCCTCCTTATAAAAGTGAGATGAGTTTCAACTTAGAAATCCATACTTTGTTTCTTGGATACTTCTTCTTCATCTCCAACTTCATCTTCAGTGACCTCGGACCCAGTGGTATATTCTTCTTCTTCTGAAAATAATGACTGTTGTTTCTAAAATAAAAAACAAAACATACCATATTAAAATTTTATCTTATCACATCACCAATGAATTCTTCCAAACACATTTATATACTTATTTTGGATGAATGAGCCAAACAAGAACTGATGAAATGACCACTGCCTAGCACAACATTTGGGAAATGGATCTAAGAATGTCTACATTTAAGACAGGATAACATTACATGAAATATTTAGAAAATTTACAGTTTTCATAGATTCTAGCAGAGTGATGGGCACATTATAGGTACTTAGTATTTGCTGAACTGCAACTCTATTTCTCAACTGAAAATATTTTCCTTGATTATTAAAATTAAGTTAAAATACAATAATTGTCAATATTAATGTAGTCTCATAAACAAGCAATGGGAAAGGAAATGGCAACCCACTCCAGTATGCTTGCCTGGTAAATCCCATGGACAGAGGAGCCTGGTGGGCTACAGTCCACAGGGTTGAAAAGGAGTCAGACATGACTTAGAGACTAAACAACAAATAGGCACATGTACAAATTCTCTGGGTGAATGTGGTCCTGGATTAAACATATCCACATCAGTTTCCTGCATCTATCCACCCTCTTGTCTGTTACCACTGATTCAAATTTCTATTCCACTCCTGTGAATACTGGTGGCAGATGGCACAGTAATGGTAAACAGGCAGGAACAAACAATAAGTCAATCAACCAACCAAATAAATGGAACTTAATTGATTTGTTGTTTTGTTCAATATTTTAAATGTGACCTCCAAGTGACTTTTTTAAAAAGTCCTTTAAGAAAACTTAAGGGGGTGGGGGGAAGAAAGCTTATGGGTTATGCAGCAAGATAAAGGAGTATATGTCTGTTTTACAGTCCATGGAATTCTCCAGGCCAAAATACTGGAGTGGGTAGCCTTTCCCTTCTCTAGGGGATCTTCCAAACCCAGGGATCAAACCCAGGTCTCCCACATTGCAGGCGGATTCTTTCCCAGCTGAGCCACAAGGGAAGCCCAAGAATACTGGAGTGGGTAGCCTATCCCTTCTCCAGCGTATCTTCCCAACTCAGGAATCAAACTGGGGTCTCCTGCATTGCAGGTGGATTCTTTACCAACTGAGCTATGAGGGAAGACAACGATATTTTTAGTAAATGGGAAATTATAGTTGCTGAAAAGGATGCTATACATTTAACTAACACCTATAAAATAAGGGTTTTCTCCAATAGCTCAGTTGATAAAGAATCTGCCTAAAATGTGGGAGACCTGGATTTGATCCCTGGGTTGGGAAGATCCCCTGGAGAAAGGAAAGGCTATCCACTCCAGTATTCTGGCCTAGGGAATTCCATGGACTGTATAGTGTCCATGGGGTCGCAGAGTCAGACACGACTGAGCAACTTTCACTTCACTCACTTCACTATAAAATATGTAGGGAGAAAGATTTATGAAAGTGAAATATAGTCACTCACCAGCTGCAGAGTCCAGTTTTTCAGTGATAAGAACTATAAAAGAAGCCAAATAAGAGATTAATACATATGCATCTACTTAGATTGCAGCTCCTTATTTTCATGTGGATGGTGTAGAAGAGTTAGAGAAAGTTACAAGTATGGCTCCCTTCTAGGGTGAAATATCTCATCTAAAAATGATATAGTACGATCTTTTATATTCCCTGCCTAGAGAAAAATGTGTATGTTTACAAAAAAAAAAAAAGAAAAAAAAAATCAACATTTCCTAGCGTCATTTCTAAAGGACAAATAAATCACATACAGAGATAATATAATTTGTTATTTTGTTAATTATTTCACTTTTTAATGTTTATATTTTATTATAAATTAAAGAACCATATATATATGGATATCCAAGAAATTTGCTATTTTATATACAATTTATAAATGTATGTCAATAATTAAACACTAATAGCAATCTGAAGCTTATAGCACATTTTACATGGGACATTTCACTTTCTTAGGTAAATGCTACTTCAACTAAAACAAAGACAGGATGTTCACAGGCAAATAGAGACTCCCTGACTGTTAGTCACAGGAATCAAACACATCAAAGCTTTCCAGTCACCTTAAAAACATCTCAGTTTTGAAACCCTGGAAAAACTAAATGCATTACTGAATACAATTTAAAAAAAGAGAATTTTACACCAAAAAAGTTTATAGGGCTAAGGGGATAAAATATCCCATTCATATTATCTTTACTCTGCAAATCACTATTTGTCCATAATAAACCCTGAAGACTATATTTTCCCCCAAAATTTGATTATTAATTCTTTGAGGGCAAGGAAAATATCAGCCTTATAGTCCTGATAATTCAGCGTAACACTTTGTTATGATAGTCAGTAAATGCCTATAATGAAAATCGCGGTATTAATTTAAACTGATCTTATTTCTGTCAAAGATTAAATATCATCAGTTGTTTTTATAAATAAAAAATAAATGAAACAAGCTACTTACAGCATTAAGCTCCCCACTCTTGGGGCCCCATGGTGTATTTGGCTCCAGTAAAACATCATAGTCTAGACCCTTTTCATCACAGGGACCACCAGAATCACTTGAAAGAAAAAGATATTTTAGGAAGAAGTGTCCAATTTCTTAAGCTCTTTCTTTTTTTTGCCTGCATGGTACCCAGGTCCCAGTAATGAAAACACAGTCCTAACCACTGGACCACCAGGGAATGCCACAATTTCTTAAAAATGTAAATGTAAACAATACTGCTTTAACTGCAAATGTTCTATAAATCGCTCTTCAGAAATACAGTTCTTAAGTATAAGGTATGCCATTCAACATTTACATTTCTTAATGCATCTCACGATTCCCCCAGCAGAAGTCACCCTGTATGGGGGGAGCACCACTTACACTCAAGCATCATACCTGCCAGGTGGTTAAAATAGGCTACACTGGTGGATACTGCTTTGAGAACAGCTTTTGTTAGAGGGTCCTCCTACCCACAACTACCACAACAATAGCCCATTGTAACTGCAGAATGATGGAAGTGACTACATTAATTACTGAATCCAAGGAGTTCAAATCTAGGCAAAGATAACTTGTTGCAACCATTAATTTTTTTTTAGTTCAATCAGTCAAGCTAAGATGGTCTCAAGTAACTTGGGAACATTTTTTGAAACCCTCAAAACCGGATTGTGGGCCTCACCCTTTCAGTCACCAGGAACTCCTATTATTAGTTTCTCTTCCTCTTGGACTTCTAATATTTTGAGTCCCCCCCGCCCCATCAAATAAACACATGCTTGCTCTTATTGTAAGCTAACACAATTTCAATTAGGCTTTCTGAAATAACATAAACTACTTAAGGACCACCATTACTGATTTGGGGAAGCACTGGGGGTAGAAGATTCTAGGATGGGAACCACTAATTGAATAAAGCTACAGTACAGGGCTTCTTTCCCTCACCTCACCTAATTGTATCTTTAGCAAAAGGCACAAGGATGACATCTTTGTGTTTGTGCAGATCATCCAGAATTTTGGCAGTTGGACAGGACAGCAAATCTTCACCTTCACCTTGATCACGAAGAGTAACCATATGGTCCTTTACTTTACAACCCTGTTATGTAAAAGACTAAATCTGAGAGGCTGGTTCTTTATAGAAACAATCATTTAAAGATGATGATTTCTTTTCCATTTTACTCTGTCACATCATCCCATGAACGAATTTACAACTTTTTCTTAAGAAAAAAATTACTTATACAGAAAAGAGCATGAAACATACACGCATACCTTAATATCCATGTAACACAATCCACACTAAAAACAGAATACTGCCAATACTCTAGGATTCCCACAGGGCCATTCCCAACCAAAACCACCTCTTCTTTCTCAAAGGGTAACCTCTACCTCAACTTTTTTGGTACTTCCTTCCTTGCTTTTATCCTTTTACCACTTAAGGATACATCTCTAAACATTGCAGTTTAGTTTTGTCTCATTTGTTTTGATGCTATGTTTTTGTGATTCAACCATGTTATTGCATGTAACTATTAATATATGCACAGTATTTCTCTATATGAATAATTATCATTTGCTTATCTATTCCATAGTTGGTGGGTGGGTTGTTTCCAGTTTGGAACTATTCTAAGTAGTAGTATTATGAACATTCTTTAACATGTTTCCTGATACACAAGTGCTCATGTGTACCAAATTAAATGACTAACAGAAGTGTATGAGAGTGCTCTTTACGATCTTGATAACACTTGGTAATTGTAGTCATTCTGGTAAGCATGTAGTGGTATCTGACTGTGGTTTTAATCTGCATTTCCCCAATTAAAAATGAGGTTGAAATCCTTTCCATGTTTAGTGGACAATGAGGAATGTCCTTGTGTGAAGGTCCTATTGTCTTTTTCTATTAATTTGTACAAGTTTAAAAAAATCTTAGTATCAGCCTTTTATAGCTATGTGTTGCTAATATCAGGTCCCACCTATGAGTTTGCCTCCTCAGTTTCAGTTATTGAATGTAGCTAATGTACTTGAATTTAAAATTTCTTCCTTTATGGTATTATCTTTTAATAGCTTTATCAGCTTTGCCTCATATATAGGCTTTTAAAAAACATTTATTTATTTAAGGCTGTATTGGGTCTTCATGGCTGTGAGTAGGCTTTCTCTAGCTGCAGCAAGCAGGAACTACTCTCTAGCTACGGTGTGTGAGCTTCTCATTAGGGTGGCTTCTCTAGTTGGAGAACATGGACTCTAGGGCACAGGCTCAGTAGGTGTGGCACATGGGCTTAGCTGCCTGGTGGCATGTGGCATCGTCCCAGTCCAGGGATCAACCAGGGACTGAACCTGAGTCACTGGCTTTGGCAGGCGGATTCTCAACCTCTGGACTATCAGGTAAGTTCCACATACAGACTTTTGGGGGACTAGTCTGGACCATTTTTTTTCCATTTTGATGTCCCAATGTGCCAGTACCTCTTCCTGGAAAGTCCGTCCTGTGCCCACTGCTCTGTAATGTCACCTCTGTCACAGTCAAGTATCCAGGTAGCTTCGAGTACAGAATTCTTCAGTATCTCTGGGGAAATGGTTCCAGTAGTCCCATATATACAAAAATCCATGGACTCAACCAATTGCATATTATATATACAGTACTGTACGTATTTATGTTTAAAAATCCAGGTATAAGTGGACCCACATAGTTCAAATCAGTGTTGTTCAAAGTTCAAATGTATTTCATTCTCTTTTATTGGTCCATCTGTTTAATCTTCATCAATATCACCCTGTCATAATCACCAAGACTTAAGATAAATTTTGATATTAAGCAGAGAAAGTACTGGGTTGGCCAAAAAGTTCTTTCAGATCCCTAAGCTGTCATGGAAAAACCTAAGTCATTTTGGCCAACCCAGTACTTTTACCTTTACGTTCTTTGAGAGTCTCTTACCTGTTCTTGGCCTTTTGTATTTCCATAAATATTTTAGAATCAGCTTAGCAACATTCCTGATTTAAAAAAAACCTGCTAGGATGTTTATTGAGATCACATGGATCTATATAGGTCAGGTTGGGGAACATTTATTTACTTATTTTGGCTGTGCTGGGTTTTCACTGCAGTGTGTGGCATTTCTCCAGTGCCATATCGGGGTTTCTCCAGTTGCAGAGCACAGGCTCTGGAGTGTGAGAGTTCTCTAGCTGAGACACACAGGCTCAGATGACCTGTGGCATAAGGGATCTTAGTTCCTTGACCAGGGATCAAACCTCTGTCGCTTGCATTAAAAGGCAGATTCTTAACCAACCGATGTCCAGCAAAGTCCCACATCAGTGGATTTTAAGATAGCAGAACAGGAAAAGTTCCTTGATTTTGATTCCCATTGTAACTAACCTTTAAGAAAGACTACCCACAAGTTCAATGTGGAAACAGATCTGAGAATCTAGCTGTTTTCTCTTAATTCAGACATTGAAGAGAGTTATAAAAAATGTCAAACAGTGTTAGTTTCACTTATTTTTTTTTTGCTTTGGAAAATATAGTTATTTTTCATAAAAATATGCTGACATATAATGAGATTATTCTCTTTCAATGAATTAAAATAAACTTTTTCTGTTTTAATTTCCAATGGTAAATAGGGATAGATATAACCCACATAAATAAAAGTTCTCTAGGAATCTCAGCTTTGAAGATTTTGTTAGAGATCTTGAGTGCAAAAGTTTGAGAACCAATGTTCTAAATGATGGAAAGAATAATTACTAAGTAATCTTTTTGGGACACTGACGTGTATAGGAAATCACACTGGTGGTTTAATAAAGTCTTTCTGTGCCTTAGAATCGCAATACATAGTAAATAAATCGATAATTGTAGTATAAAAGTCTTCTGAGGAAGTTCATAATTTATTTTTGTGATCAAGTTAATAGAAAAAGTTTCTGATGGTTCTTAAAATTACAGAATTGTTATGTCAAAATTTTCAACCAGTCAGAGCCCAGATATGCCAGACCATGGAGATATATGTGTGAAATAAAAATCAAAACATGTAGAAAGGGAAAAAACACTTGATTCAGCATGTTTATGAATACAGTAAAGGTTAAAAAAAAAAAGAAAAAAAGAAAAACTAGTCACTCTGTAATCTTGGACCTTAAATCAGTGGCTACAAATGTAACCTTTATGAAAGCAATCTTTATTCTAACCAAGAAAACTACCAAAATGTTTAATTAAATTGCTAATAATCCAGGGTCTTCACTGCAGTGAGTCATATTATAGCTTCCTGAGGAAATTATTCACCAGCTTCTTCCTCCCTTTGCCATTTCTCTTTGAGAACATTTAATCTAGGATTGTTATTTAAGGAAAGATTGTGAGTACTTATTTTAATAATTGTGTACATAGTCCTTTATTTAGGGGGATTGTCTTAGAAAATGGTAAAAACCACAGTTTTCTTTTCCTTAAATGTAACTCATGGGAGATGACTGTTCAGTTCATTTCAGTTGCTCAGTCGCATCCGACTCTTTGTGACCCCATGGAATGCAGCATGCCAGGCATCCCTGTCCATCACCGACTCGCGGAGATTGCTCGGACTCATGTACATTGCGTTGGTGATGCCATCCAACCATCTCATCCTTTGTCATGGCCTTCTTCTCCTGCCTTCAATCTTTCCCAGAATCAGGGTCTTCTCCAATGAGTCAGTTCTTCGCATCAAATGGCCAAAGTACTGGAGTTTGAGCTTCAGCATCAGTCCTTTCAGTGAACATTTGGTTAGGACTGATTTCCTACAGAATATACTGGCTGGATCTCCCTGTAGTCCAAGAGACTCTCAATGAGTCTTCTTCAACACCACAATTAAAAAGCATCAATTCTTTAGCACCCAGCTTTCTTTACAGTCCAAATCTCACATCCATACATGACTACTGGAAAAACCATAGCCTTGACTAGACAGACCTTTGTTGGCAAATTAATGTCTTTGCTTTTTAATATGTGGTCTAGGTTGGTCATAGCTTTCCTTCCAAGGAGCACGTGTCTTTTAATTTCATGGCTGCAGTCACCATCTGCAGTGATTTTGGAGCCCCCAAAAATAAAGTCTGACACTGTTTCCACTGTTTCCCCATCTATTTGCCATGAAGTGATGGGACCAGATGCCATGATCTTAGTTTTTTGAATGTTGAGCTTTAAGCCAACTTTTTCACTCTTCTCTTTCACTTTCATCAAGAGGCTTTTTAGTTCCTCTTCACTTTCTGCCATAAGGGTGGTGTCATCTGCATATCTGAGGTTATTGATATTTCTCCCAGCAATCTTGATTCCAGCTTGTGCATCATCCAGCCTGGCATTTCTCATGATGCACTCTGCATATAAGTTAAATAAGCAGGGTGACCATATACAGCCTTGACGTACTCCTTTCCCAATTTGGAACTAGGCTGTTGTTCCAAGTCTGCTCCTAACTGTTGCTTCTTGACCTGCATACAGATTTCTCAGGGGGCAGGTCAGATGGTCTGGTATTCCCATCTTTTTAAGAATTTTCCACAGTTTGTTGTGATCCACACAGTCAAAGGCTTTGGCATAGTCAATAAAGCAGAAGTAGATGTTTTTCTGGAATTCTCTTTTTTGATGATCCAACAGATGTTGGCAATTTGATCTCTGGTTCCTCTGCTTTTTCTAAATCCAGCTTGAACATCTGGGAGTTCATGGTTCATGTACTGTTGAAACCTGGCTTGGAAAATTTTGAGCAGTACTTTGCTAGTGTGTGAGATGAGTGCAATTGTGAGGTAGTTTGAACATTCTTTGGCATTGCATTTCTTTGGGATTGGCACGAAAATGGACCTTTTCCAGTCCTGTGGCCACTGCTGAGTTTTCCAAATTTGCTGGCATATTGAGTGCAGGACTTTCATAGCATCATCCTTTAGGATTTTGAAACAGCTCAGCTGGAATCCCATCACCTCTACTAGCACTGTTTGTAGTGATGCTTCCTAAGGCTCACTTGACTTCGTATTCCAGGACGTCTGGCTCTAGGTGAGTGATCATACCACCACTGTGGTTATCTGGGTCATGAAGATCTTTTTGGTACAGTTCTTCTGTGTATTCTTGTCACCTCTTCTTAATATCTTCTACTTCTCTTAGTTTCCCAGTCAGTATCTCCCATCAGGAAGCTTCCATAAGTCTCTTATCTTTATCTGTCAGAGGGCAGACAGAATGAAAACCACAATCACAGAAAACTAATCAAATTGATCAAATGGACCACTGCCTTGTTTAACGCAATGAAACTATGAGCCGTGCCGTATAGGGCCACCCAAGACAGACGGGTCATGGTGGAGAGTTCTGACAAAACGTGGTCCACTGGAGAAGGGAATGGCAAGCCACTTCAGCATTCTTGCCCCGAGAAACCCATGAACTGTATGAAAAGACAAAAAGCTATGACACTGAAAGATGCACTCCCCAGGTTGGCAGGTGCCCAATATGCTACTGGAGAAAAGTGGAAAAATAACTCCAGAAAGAATGAAGAGATGGAGCCAAAGCAAAAACAACACCCAGGTGTGTATGTGACTGGTGATGGAAATAAAGTCTGAAAAACAATACTGCATAGGGAGATGACTGAGGTTTATGAAAATGATAGCATAAGCCAGTACCCCTTCCCCCATCCCCGTTTTTACGCTCACCTATACCTGTTGGTTTCAATGATCACTCATTTACAAGAAGACTTACAAATTATTATCTGTAGCCTAACCCCTACACAGTCTACACAGCAGTTAGTATTATACAGAATGATCACCTAGGTACACTGTTAAGTGAAAAAGGCAAATTACAGAATAAGATGAACAGTCTGATTCTATTTCCAATGTGAAAAACAACATTTAGTCTGTGCCTAAAATGTATAAAACAAGGTCTTAAGGGAAGTTGTGAACAGTGGTTATCTTTGAGAAGTAGAATGAGGGAGTGGTATGAAATGAGATTTCTACTTTTTATTATACTTCCCTATGTAGTTAAATCTTTTCTACATGAATGTATATTTACATTTTAAAAACAATAAAAGAGGAAAACATTTAAATACAAAGTGTTATTTAATAAGTGCTGTAATTACAAAAAGGCAACCTTCAAAATCTACCTTTGTAAGCTGAGTGGGGTCAAATCGAAGAACCTTTTGGTTACAGCAGGGATAAATTCCAGTGCCAACAGTACTCAGCGAACTTCCTGCAGCAGGATAAATCACTGTCTCTGAGTGATACTGACAGTGTGAAAACTCTATGCAGAGAAAAGTCTGAATAAAAGAAATACATAAAATTAAGTATTATTCCCACAGTGAAATTATACATCTCAAAAATACTCAAGACCACATACTGAATGTCCCATCACGTAAAATATACAGAAAAGGCACATCTCTAGAGCTAAAATGCAGATTTGTGGATGCCTGGGATTAAAAGTGAGACTAGGTTGGGGAGTGGCTGCAAATGGATGCAAGGGATTTTTTTGGGGTGATGGAAATGTACTAAAGTTGGATGGTGGTGATGGTTGAATAATTCCAAATTTATAAAACATCAGTAAATTGTACACTTAAAATGAATGAATTTTATGGCATGTAATAATACCTCAACAAAGCTGTTAAAAAGCAAAATCAAAAATACTATTTGAATTTCAGAGGAGTTAAATTGATCTTGATGTACATCTAATTTTATAATTGGCCTATCACAAAAGAGGTTTTCCAATGGAAAAAATTAAATAAAAATTTGCCTCCCTTATTCTTGGACATATTTTTTAAGGTAAATACTTAACATCACTCTATCTGTGACAACTATGGAGTAACTGAATCACTAGTGAAAAATTTACTAATGTTTAATTATAAGATTAATAGTCATGTCCAGATACGTTTGTAAGTTGGTAAAATAAAGAAAATAAAATGAACAATTTTAAGCACTGATCCTGAACACAAAAGATAGTCTGTAATTCAGAATTCTTAGTTAGTTCCAATTATGATTTTCAAATAATAGCTTTCAATTAAAATTTTTTGAGTCTGATAAAAGCTATAAGGTGCATACTCATACAAAGTATTTTGCATACAAACTATTTTATGAGTTTATAAACTCTCATAAAAATATTAAATATTATAAATCAATATTCAATTTGCTTTGAAGAAGGGGAAAAAAATCCTTCAAATGTTCTGCATTCTGACATGCTAAACAAACCAGGTTTTAGGAGCCTGATATCTTTGATTATACGTGACACTCCATTGTTTGGAGGACAACTATATACCTATTAAGTAGAAAAAAAAAACATCCAAAATAACCTGACAATATCAAGTGTTAGAAAAGATATGGGGCAACTGGAACTCCTATACATAGCTGGAAAGGATAAAAAGTGGTTCAGGCACTTTGGAAAACTCTTAGGCATGGTATAAATGTTAAATTTACATTTACCATACAACCCAGCAATCCTATTTCTAGGTAAATACTCAAGAGAAACATATTCACACGAAAGCCTGTATGGGCATGCTTACAGATGCTTTCTTCATAATGGCCCCAAACTAGAAGCACCTGCAGTCCTTCATTGGTAAGGGGATAAACATACTGTAGTGTATTCCTATGATGAGCTACTACCTAAGGCTAAAAAGGAACAAATGGACAGATACAACAACGTGAATAAATTTCAAATCCACCTTGCTACATAAAATAAACTAGACTCAAAAAGCTAAATACTGTATGATTCTATTTATATGACATTCTGGAAAAGTCAAAATTATAGAGACAGTAAACAGATCAGCCATTGTCAGAGGCTGAGATGGGACAAGGAACTGACTAAAAACAGTCACAAGGGAATTTTTAAGGATGACAGGAGGAGTCTACGCTTTGTTTGTGGTGGCAGCTATACGACTGTATAAGTTTGTCAAACCTCACAAAAAGGATACATTTTAACTGTATGGAAGTTACACTTCAATAAATCAAGCTTTTAAAAACTGTGAGGACATAGGGAGTCACTGGGAAGAAACTTACACAGTTTGAAAAAAATGTCACTCTGATGGCTGTAATAAGCTGCTCTCTGTGCTGCCTTACTCTATTGAAAATGAGGCGGTGGGGAGACCTACGGGAGTCATAAAATATTTTATGCAGAACACTCTGAATTTATACATAAGACTAATTCGGAATGATTGTGACCAATAAAGATCTAATTATTTTATAAAAGGATTTATTATAAATACCTTCAAATTGTAAGTTTCCTTGTGCTTTTAAGCCTTCGTTTAGAAGAAGTGGACAAAACATTTTTGGTAACACAATTATTTTATTAATAACAAGGGCACATCTCAATAGCATCCTATCTGCAAAGGTGTTTCTGAATTTCTAAAGAAATATATGGGCTAACAGAGAAACAGTTTGGCTGAAAATAAATGAAAGGCAACAAGAATTCTGTATCTTTTTTCCATTGAAAAAAATGAATTTGATGACTTAAAAACCTGTTGGTTAAAAAAAAAACAAAAACCTGTTGGTTTTATAAAAAGTCATCAAGTCATTGATTGTTTCAGCAATGGAAATAAAAAAGAGGAAGAATCACAGTAAGAGAAATGAGGTCAGATGCAAGCAATGTTTAACAGCACCACTATTTCTGCCACTAGTTTCTTAAAAAGATGTCAGATATTGTACAAACACATCCTAACTAATTAAATAGCGTATGTCAAAAGAGCCTGCTCTCAGTGGTTACACAACAGGATATTAAAAAAAAAAAAAAAACTCACCTGATAACATCTTGAACAAGTTAGCCAGTTGACTGTTCCCCATAAGCGCCAATATACATCTCTCCAAGATTTTAATTCTTCAAAAAGACTATTCAAATACTCATGAACATCCCAAGTTTTATCTCTAGGGAAAAGAGCCTCAGTTATTATTTCACAAGTAAGCAATATAAACAGTTTAACAAATAATTTTAAATCTGTGGCTTATTTTCAAGATCATTCCCTAAATGATGGCTATGGAAGGGACTACACTGAACGCTAGATAAAATTTCATTTGGGAATCTTATTCTGTTTTTTTCCTGTGGACAACAGAAAAAAGTGTCACAGACTGAATGCCAAATTATTTTACTACTCAAGATAAAGGGTTATAAATTAAATATAATTTAAGGACTTCCCTGGTAGTCCAGTGGTTAAGAATCTATCTGCCAATGCAGGCGACACGGTTTGATCCATCATCCAGGAAGATGCCACATGCCACAGAGCAACTAAGCCCATGCACCATGATGATTACTGAGCCCATGGTCTAAGGCCTGCGAGCTGCAGCTACTTAGCCTGTGTGCCATAATAACTGAAGCCTGCTGGTCCGAGACCCCACACAGTGCTACTACCGAGCCCACGTGCTACAATTACTGAAGCCCGTGTGCCTAGAGCCTCTGCCTAGCAACAAGTGAAGTCGCTGCAGTGAGAAGCTGACACACCACAGCAAAGAGTACCCCTGCTCTCCACAACTAGAAAAAGCCTATGCAAAGCAACAAAGACCTGGCACAGCCAAAAGAAAAAAGAAGTATGGAGTCTCTTAAAAATAAATATAGTTTAAGCAGGCTAACAGTTAGGACTTAAGCATATATCACTAAATGGAACATATTTAATTGTACCTATCATAAATTATTGGTAATTTTAAACACTCCATTAATATATTAGTTCTGTACATTATTTTCAAAATTACTTTCTAGTAATGGAGTAATAAAGTAATATACAATCAGGTCTCAGTAATATACACTTTTAAGTTCAATGATATAAATTTAAATAAACAGACAAGACTTAAAACTCCATTTGCTATCATTACATGTAACAAGTTCCTATTCTTCTCTAAGTCCTTAATCTTTTTGAATTTTGCTATTTTTGTCTTTAGTTCAAGATACAACAAAATACCATCATGTTATTACAAATTACATCTGTTTTAAGATATTTAAAGACTTTAAAAAAATGTCATCAATATCTAACTTGCAGGAAAAATACTTTGAATAAAACAATAAAATAGAAGTCAAATTTAGTTTCTGTTTTTTCATACAGTAATATTAAGTTATTGCTGTCAAAATGGAAGTAATTTTCAAAAGGTGAGTCAACTCTCAAGATAAAAAAGTATAAAATCCCAAGTGCTTATATTCCCCTTATTATAGGAAGAGAAAAATGAAACATTTTAATGCTGACTATGCTATTAATACTAGAGTCAAATGTCATGTTTTTCTCTAGATTTCTGTTTTAATGTTTACAATATGAAATTAACATTTGTACAGTTTTTTCTTTAATAAAAGTACTTCACATTTCTAATATAGGAACAGAAGCAAAAAGCAAATGAAAACCATCCATAATACTGTCATTCTAAGGTAACACGACAGTTAATATTTAATGAACATGTTTCTGGTTTAAAAAAAAGTTTATTTATTTATTTGGCTGTGCTGGGTCTTCCTTGCTGCACAGGCTTTTTCTCTAGTTGTGACGAGCAGGGGGGGTTACTCTCTAGTTGTGGTGCATGGGCTTCTCACTGTGGTGGGCCCTCTTCTTGCAGAGCATAGACTCCAAAGTGTTTGGGCTTCAGTAGTTGTGGCCTGTGGACTCAGAAGTTGTGGCTCACAGGTTTAGTTGTTCCACAGCAGGTAGGATCTTCCCAGACCAGGTATTGAATCTGCGTCTCCTGCATGGCAGGTGGATTCTTTACCACTGAGCCACCAGGGAAGACCCTTGAGTTTTGTTTTATAACCTTTTTTTTTTCCCTTATTTAATTTACTATCAATTTTGCATGTAACTATACATTCTTTTGGGCTTCCCTCGTGGCTCAGGTGATAAAGAATCTGCCTGTCATGCAGGAGACCTGGGTTCGATCCCAGGGTCAGGAGGATCCCCTGGAAATGGAAATGGCTACCCACTCCAGTATTCTTGCCTGGAGAATTCCATGGACAGAGAAGCCTGGTGGGCTACAGTCCATGGGGTTGCAAAGAGTTGGACACGACTGAGCAACTAACACACACTACATATTCTTTTACATTCTCAAAGACTGAACATTCAGAATCAATTAGATGTGTTTTATACAGATACACTATTATATGGACATATTTTAGTTCATTTAATCATTTGAGTGCTTATTTTTTTATTTATATACAACAATCAATATCCTTACTAAGTGCTTTCATAAATCAACATTACCTCTCTGAATAAATCACTAGCAGTATGATACTGTCAGAGTTATTTTAAAGTTTTTGTTTTCCTGAGACATTATTCCTATTTATAACCCTCTTCACCTACTCCCCAACTCAGGATGAGAACTAGTTTTGAACTTAAGGGGAATGCAAAAGAATTATGCATTAATATAATACTGAAAAAGTATGAAGACTAAATACAGAAAATTCAATTTTAAAGACAGTTTGCCTCACTCTAAAATTCATCTGAAAATAAATCTGGTTCTCTTGTCAAATTCAATATAACACTTAAAATCTATCAGTGAAAAATCATTTTAATGGCACTGATCAGAACATCTTTCAAGATAAAATATACTTTTACAACAACTTTGTTTTGAAAGTACCATCTTTCTAAATCAAAGTTGAATCACATGAAGAAAAAATGTTACCCCATTCCTTTTAAAAGTAGTTTTGCTTTATAAATACACCATTAATTCACATTTTAGAAGCTGTATTTTATTCTCACTACACCTTATATGAATATATATAATATTTCCATGCTGATCCACATTGATTTTTCCAGGAATGCAAGGAATTCTTCTTTCTGTTTCTTTTGTTAAAAGTTTCTTACACAAACAGCATCTAAAATAACACAAAGATACAATTAAAAAAAAAACCTTGATTAAAAAATGGCTAGAGGAACTGAACAGACATTTTTCCACAGAGGAAATATAGATGGCCAACACACATGAAAAGATCCACAACATCTCACCATCAAGGAAATGCAAATGAAGACCACAATGGGATATCACCTCACACCTGTCAGAATGGACATCATCAAAAAGAGCACAAATAACAAATGCTGGTGAAGATATGGAGAAAGGGAACACCTGTACATTGTTAGTGAGAATGTAAATTGGTGCAGCCACTGTGGAAAACAGTATGAGGGCTCGCAAAAAACTAAAAATAGAACTACCATATGATCTAGCAATTTCACTCCTGGGTATACATTAAGAAAAAAAAACACCTAATTTGAAAAGATACATACACCCCAATGTTAACAGATGCATTATTTACAAGAGCCAAGATATGTAACAACCCAAGTGTCCATTAACAGAGGAATGGATAAAGAAGATGTGGTGAGTACACACACACAAACACACACACACAATGGAATACTACTTGACCATAAAACTGAAATTTTGTCATCTGCACCAACAAACATGGAGGGCATTACGCTAAGTGAAATAAGTCAGATGAAGAAAGACAAGTGCTGTATGTTATCACCTACATGTGGAATCTAAAAAATACAACAAACTAGTGAATATAACAAAAAAGCAGCAGACTAATAGCGAACAAACTAGTGGTCATCAGTGGGGAAAGTGTAGGGAAGGGGAAAATAGGAGTAGGGGAGTGAGAAATACAAACTACTGGGTATAAGATAAGCTCAAGGATGTATTGTACAATGTAAGAAATATAGCCAATATTTGGTAATAACTGTAAATGAAAACTAACCTTTAAAATTGTATAAAAATTAAAAAACAACACAAAGAAAGACGATACAAAAAACATTCAAGAAGAAAATTTCAAATGTACCAAAATTAAAGAATTTAGCAGCAATATATAGCATACTAAAGAAAAATATACCTGTATAATGTTGCTGCATTATTCCGAGAATCTGGATTCAAGTACTCAGGATCAAAAAGTCTCTCAATCTTCTTACAAAAAAGTTTACTAGTAAAAACAAATGACCAACAAATTAATTTTCTCTATCCACTTTACCAAAATTACTTGATAGTGATGAAAATAAATGCTGACCTATTTGCACACATAGAAAATAAGACTAGTTAAAGTCATCAGAGAGTCCTTCCTTGGGAATTTATAATACATTTTTTGCTGCTCTAAGTAAGTAAACCTACTAATGAAAATTGCTTGATCAAGAACCAATTTTCACAAGAAAAATGAGACACATGGATATCTACCTCTCTTTCAGTTCTTTGTTAAGGAAAATTCCAGATTGAGGATTTGGGAAATTTAGCAATCCTGGGTCTACCAATATTTCATACATGACCTTTGGCAACTTAAAATCTCTGAAACTTATTTCTACTAATTTCAAATGCATAAGATTTTAAGAGGGTTAAATGAGATAGTGTTTTTAAAGAGTGTCAGGCATAGTATTAAACATTCAATAAATATTAATATTTCACTATTATGCATAATATAATAATCTGGACCTCCTAAATGATGCTACTGGTAAAGAACTCATCTGCCAATGCAAGAGATTTAAGAGATGCAGGCTCAATCCCTGGGTTGGGAAGATCCTCTGGAGGAGGGTATGGCAACCCACTTCAGTATTTTTGCCTAGAGAATCCTATGGACAGAGGAGCCTGGTGGGCTACAATCAATGGTGTTGCAAAACGTCAGACATAACTAAAGTGACTTAGCGTGCACATGATACTATAATCTTAGACATGAACTTAATTTTTCTGTAATCATTCAGAGCAAACATCTGGGGAAAAGTTGTTTAAATCCAACCAACCACATTGCTGTCCTCATCTTACTCTACATGGTAGCAGCATTCCACATAATTGACCACTTAATTGCTTCCTCCTTTTTGAAACCCTCTTTCCTTTTGCCTTGCCTTTGACCCTCTGTCTCTTCCTTCTCAGGCTCCTTAACTCTCCTTTGTTGAATCTTCCAAATGTTGGGCAGTCTTTATCACTATGTTCTTGTTAACAGTTAGGAAATAAACAAAAACAGCATTTATAATAGGGCCAAAAAATTCAAATGCCTAGGAATAAATTTAACTTAAAAAAAGGAAAAATGTCTCTATACTAAAAACTATAAAACACTGCTAAAATAAATAGAGAGTAATACCATGTTCATGAATGGAAAGACTCAATATTATTAAGATGTCTCTTCCCAAATCTACAGGTTCAATGCTAACCCTCAAATTTGCAGGTGTGTATGTGTGTGTATGTATATGAGAGAAAAAGAAAGAGAAAATGGGCAGGCTGATTATAAAATTCATATGGAAATGCAAAGGACGTAAAATGACTAAGATAGTAATCTTGGAGAATGGTAAAGTTGGAGAATTTTAGATCGGTGGTGGTGGTGATGGTTTAGTCACTAGGTCGTGTCCGACTCTTGCAACCCCATGGATTGTAGCCTGCCAGGCTCCTCTATCCATGGGATACTCCAGGCAAGAATACTGGAGTGGGTTGCTATTTCCTTCTCCAGAATTTTAGATTACTAGATACCAAAAAAACATTAGAAAGCTACTGTAATTAAGACAATGTCCCACTAATGAAAGTATAGACAAAGAAATCAACAGAACAATATGGAGAATTCAGAAAGAGACCTCACATATATAGTCTCCTGATTTATGGTAAAGGTGCCATTGCAATTCAGCGGAGAACATATGGTCTGGCTAGGAAATCTCATTCAGTTCTATGGCTTTAAACATCATCTACTCATATTTTTATTTTAAGCCCTGAACTCTGACCTAAACTTCAGACTTACATCTACCTGAATGTCCAAGAAGTATATTAAATATATTAAATAAACTTAACAAGATCCAAACACATCTTCTAATTCCCCTCACCCCAGTTACTGCTCTATTAATGACACTATCATTCACTTAATTACTTAACCTTAAAACCTAGTAATTATCCTAAAATATTCTCTTTTCCCATATCATCACATTTGAAAATCTGTCAAATCTCTGTAATAACATACTCTGAATCCACCTACTTCCTTCCAGAACCCCGGCCTCTACTCTAGTCTGAAGCTTTCTGTCTCTCACTAGACCACTGCACTAGACTTCAAATAGGTCTTGCTTCTTATATCCTTATAGTCTTTTCTCCACAGAGAATGGGCTGATTTCTTAAAAACAAATCAGATCATGCCACTCCTCTGCTTCCATTCCACCTAGAATAAAGTATATACTCCTTGTATGACCTAAACAGCTCCTAATGTTGTTGACCTCATCTCACACAACTCTTCCCCTTTATATTAAGGCCCTGTCTTGATAATTTTTAACATAATTCACCATCATAATCTGCTTATATATGCCTTATACACAGTAACTAATTTAGTTACCATTTTTCACCTCGAGCCATCCGCTCAGAATATATTTTACTTCAGGCAGGTATGCTCAGTTGCTCGGTCGTGTCGGACTCTTTATGACTCTGTGGACTGTAGCCCACCAGGTTTCTCTGTCTATGGAATTCTTCAGGCAAGAAGACTGGAGTGGGTTGTCAGTTCCTTCTCCAGGGGATCTTCCCAACTCAGGGATTGAACCCACGTCTCCTGCATCTCCTGCACTGGCAGGTGCATTCTTTACCACTGAGCCACCTGAGAGGCCCCATATTTTAATTTATTTAAAATAAAATGGAAACAGATTTCTAAATATATTCTAAATATAGAATTTTTACTGAAATGAAATAAAAATAACACATTCTAATAGGAACATTACCTTTAAAATTAAATTTTAAAAATTACCTCCTAAACTTATCTTTCTTGTCCTTTAAATCATCAACTTCATTGTGTGTAAACAGATCAGCTATACGTGTAAGAAGATTTGCATTAATACAGTTCATGTTGCATGGAGTAGCTACAATGGCATTCATATTTTTGTGGCAATACTGTATACACTGTTCAACCTAAACAAAAAACACAGAAAATAAGTTTTGAAGATGGAAACAGAAAGGATAAAGTCATATCAATACTTTTCAAAGATAAAGATTCATTAAAGGCTTAATCCATGTATTGCTAGGCAATAACTTAGCTCTGCCTGTTTGCGTTAAACTATACTGTTCCAAAGTGGTCTAGTACGTCAAATTTATACAAACATAGCTAGAAAAAATTTCAAACTTCTTAGAATATTTTGAACAACAATGTAATGAACTTCTTTCATGATTGTGGCAGATATAAATCTTAAGTCCACAAACTCAAGGGTACAGATATGTGACTTTCTATTATAAACTTAGTGACAATTTTACACCTCCATTTCTCTAACAGAAACATTTCAGTCACTTTAGGGTTTTCTCAGGTCTGTTGTGCTTGCTTTCTGCCTTTCTTCAATGTCAGGTATATTTATTTACTTTTCAGGGTAGATTGTGTTTTGGGGAAAAACAGCACTGGTTAATTATGTATTCTTCTAAATATTTTGCTATGACATAAAAATCATTCTTTAGGTCTTAGATTACAAAAATCAAAACTCATAGACTCTTTTAGTCTCTCTTTTTTTCCTATAACTCTCCCTTGAAGCAATTAATACCAACAACAGAAGAGGGAGGGACTAAGAAGTACAAAAATACAATAAAAACCTCAAACAAATAAATGAACTTCACATCTGTTAACACAGTAAAGGAATATTTTGCTTTGTGTAGTTTTACCAGAGGTTAAAAGCAAATATTCATTTAAAACTACAAAAAACAAAAAAAAAGACATTTGAATGATAAAGAAATTTATTAAATAAAAGGAAAAGGAAGAAAAATATATTCAGTGTTAAGAGTCTGATATGTAGACATTGTGCTTTTATATTTCATCAACTACTTTTAACAACAGACATAAGCATGTGGTTTACACATACAAAATCACATCTTCTAGCAGTTGGGCATTCATTTCTTAGTTTCCTTAACTATAAATGAAAGACACAAATAAACAGTACAAGGCTTAAACCAATTATTTAAATAGTAAAACAAATATATTCCAATTAATTTTCTTTTAATTTGGTTTTATGGCGAAATCCCTTTTGGGGCAAAATTAATTCTGTTTAGTTTCATCTGATGCAACAGCTACCTCCTCCCTTGAGGATATATTGCTAGCTTTATAGGCATCCTTCGCAAATGACACACAGTAGCCTTTAGCCTTTCCCAATAGAACAAAGTACCTCCAAACACCAGCAGCTTATTCTAATGAATCACAGTCTTCAATCAACAGCTACTTTAGGAAGCTATCTCCGAATTTTCTAGACATTTGAAGAAAACATCACCAAGCATAGGTGAATAGAAGAGTTGGATCTTTTGTTAACACTTACCAGGGAATCCATTTTCAAAAACTCTGAAGAAATAAGAATTGAAATGACATTTCCTGGCTCTAAAAAAGAGAGAGAGAAAAAATTAAATTCTCCTTTGATTTTCATCTCAGCCTCCTTAAAACAGGCTCCTTCTCACCTTAAAAGACGAGGTTACTTTAATAAGAACAATTTAATAAAATCTTACTATGGCTTATATGCAAGAAAGAAAGAAAATGCAAAGTTAAAATTTAGGGTATAGAGAAAACATATAGCAAATTTGCCCTAGAATTAGATTTACATCAAGTAAAAAGACTCTAGTTAAAGATGTGATATATACTAATTCCTCCTTAACTAAACCAGGGAAAAGGATAATTAAAATTGAGAATATAACTCATCACACAAAAATCATAGTGAAGTTATTTCAAAAGTGGTTCAAATGCTTGTTAAGAACAAATGCTTAATTTAAAAGATTCTTAAAGATAATATAAAATTTACTATTGCAGAAATGAAAAATTACTTCCTACAGGCAGACTTCAAAGGCACAACCAGGGAAAGGGGATGCTGGCTCATGCTATCATTTCAGTAAACCTCAGTCATTTTCCATGAGTTATATTTAAGGAAAAAGAAACATTTTGATATTTACTGTTACAGTACTAAGACAGTCCTCCTAAATAAAGGACTATGTACACAATAATTATAATAAGTAATCACAATCTTTCCTTAAATAACAATTCTAGATGGAAGGTTCTCAAAGAGAAGTGGTAAAGAGAGGAAGGAGTTGGTGAAAAATTTCAACTATAATATGACCCATTCCAGTTAAGACCCAAGGTCTGGATTATTAGCGATGGAATTAAGCATTTTGCTAGTTTTCCTAGTTAAAGACTGCTTTTATAGAAGCTTAACATTTGTAGCCACTGATTTAAGGTTCAAGATTACAGAAACACCAAGTTTGCTCCATTTTTTTTTTACCTTTTGACTGGTTGAAAATTTTGATTTAGCAATTTTGTAATTTTAAGAACCATTAGAAACCTTTTCCCTTAATTTGGTCACAAAAATGTATTAAATTATGAACTTCCTCAGAAGACTTTTATACTGTCTGTATAAATTTATTTACTAGTAAGAAATTAGAAGTATTTTGATATTACTGCAAATTGTAATTCTAGTGCACAGAAATACTTATATTAAACCCCACTAGAGTGATTTCCTATACAAGGCAATACCCAAAAAACATTACTTAGTAATTACTCTTCTTATCATCTAGAACACTGGTTCTCAAACTTTTGCTCTCAAAACCTATTTTCAAAAAAAAATCTTAAAAGCTGAGATTCCTAGACAGCTTTTCTTTAAGTGGGTTATATCTACTGTATTTACTATACCGGAAAATAAAACAGAAAATAATTAAAATATTTATTATTCTTTTTCAATGAATAAACTCATTACATATTAACATAATTTTATGAAAATAACTGTATTTTTCAAAACAAAATGAAAATAACAGTTTGACATTTTCTATAAATCCCCTCAGTGTCTGACTTAAAGGCAGATAGTTTGATTCTCACATCTGTTTCCACACTGAATTTGTGGGTAGTCTTTCTTAAAAGTTAGTTGCAATGGGAATCAAAATCATACTAAGAGCATTTCCTATTCTATCTCAAAATTCTCTGATTTACTTTGCACTTAGAATGGATCTTTAATCTATGCATGATTTTTTGTTAACATCATGCATTGATCATTTGAAAGACACTGGTTTGTTTACTGAGTTATGCAGATCTTCCAAATGTTGAAACATTTCATTATACATTATATTAAAAAGTCTTATTTGTTAATATTTAAAGAAACGTCTTTAAATATACAGCAACTATCAAGCACATGGAAGCAGTTACAAGTTTTCCAAAACTCTTAATTCTTACTTGAAAGCATGAATTTTATCATGGGCAACAAATATTGTTAGTTATTTCCCTTTCATTGACTGGCTAACTTAATTCATTTTCAAAAAACTATCTGTCTGGGACATTCCCTGGTCCTAGTGGTCAAGATGCTGAACTTTCACTGCCATGACCTGGGTTGGGAAACTGAGATCCTGCAAGTTGTGCAGTGCAGCCAAAGGAAAAATTAAAAAATAAAAAAGGAGGAAAGTATCTGCCAGATGCTTAAGTGAGGGTCTGTCAGCCATTCTTCCAAGTAAAAATGGTTTTGTAAGAAAGCAGCTAATTTAGCTTTCAACTCAGGCAACTTGTACAAGTTCTTTTCCTTAAGACAGCCGTCATACTCCAGTGTGCAGCAAGAGTGCACTTTCCGAGTCATCAAGTAGAATGTCAAAAGAATGTACAGTTAAGAGTCAAAAGTTAATAAAATTAGTCATTTTTACTGCCTCATCAAGGATATTCCTAAAAGAAACTATTTTTTTCCTTTTCTTTTTTTCCCATTTTTACGATGAGCACATGGGTTGAAGAACACAGTGACCACTCATACTACATGATGCTCCTTCCTTGATGTGGGCTAAAGCTCCAACAGTTCTATCCTCTATTACTTCTGCACTTTGTGAACAAATGTCAACATAGAGGGAAAAATGATAAATAACATCTTGGCATTATTAAGCAGATTCCCTTAACCTTGTGGGTCCTCTGAAAGGATCTTTAGGATGCCAGTGGTAGGCCATCATAACAGAGTGAAAATGGCTAATCTATAGACCTGTCCATTTGCCATAAATTCACTAAAATTTGTTAAAAAGGAATGCGGTATCAGTTTTCTAAACAGTGATTACTAATTTGAACATAAATACTAAGGTGTGAACAATTTTCCACATTTCCTATTTGGCCTGAAGCAACTATCAACTGACACAAAAATTTCACTACAAAGTAAGTAACAGATTGTCTTTTACCTAAAGAGGGCATCTCACAATCTTTATTCTCCTTAGTGTTCCTTTTAACATATTTTATCAACCAGTTGAAAATGTGAACGTCACAATGAACTGAAATGTCCACCTCTTCCCAGCGCTGGGCATCCACAGATAAATATTCAGCAAAGTACTTCATTTCTGATATCAAAAGATCTCGTGGGCAAATAAAATCTTCTTTCAAGTTTTTTGCTTCATCACATACATGGATCACCATGTTTGGCCTTCATGAAAAATGTTACACAGAAATGAAATTATTAGAGTTTTAGAAGAGGAGCCAATAATATTGACATTTATTGGAAGTATGAGAACCAGATGTTTTTCAAGGTTTTAACCACATATCAGTTTTATAAGACTTGACATTCAGAAGTTTACATTAGCACCTTTCTACCTTGATCAGTATCTGAAAACTATGACTAATTTTAGTTAAGCTACTGACTTAGTAAAACAAAATATTTTTACTATAGAACTAATAAAAGGCTTGAAACTCATTATTTTCAAATTATAAGTTAATCATAGTGTTTTTAAAAAATACCAATTCACAAGGAAAAATTAAATTACAATTTCTAGTTCTTGTGAGCAACATAAAACGGCACTTTTACATAGTAATGGATACAGAAAGGAGATAAAGATGAAACACTAGAATTTTCTTACTATTAATGAATGGGAAAAAGTTAAAATTATTCATTGAATAGTGAATAATTAGCATAGCTATTTTGTTATTTTTAACAGCTAGAAAGCTTGTTTATAGACATTCAATAAATATAAATCAGTAAATGTGGTTTAAAAATTCAACACTACAACGTGCTTATTTACACATTTAAAAACAATTTAAGAATAGGTTTAGATGATATATCAGAAAAACTACTTTAAAAATTGTATACTCTTTGAATGTATATGCCCTTGAAAATTATATTACCTCAAAAAGAAATACTAGTGTGATCCACAACTGCCTTCATGTCATTACAAAAGGAAGAGATTAAATAGGAAGAGATACACTAATCTACAATATGAATTTAATATGTATTTAAATGAACTTCAAAAATTTTTAACACAAAGAAATTACATCTGAAGTAAAACTGGCAACAGAAAAAGGATTAATAATCAGTGCTTTGTCAAAATAAAGGAGTTTAAGCAACTTTCAAACTGTTCTTCCAAAGACATTACGGTCAAAATATAAACAGGTAATGGCTGGTATAATGAAACATGAAAATTCGGTGAATTTTTGGGCCAAAACATGAAATACTAAATAATAACAGTTAAAAAATTAACTTGATAAATTTTTATGCTACACAAACAAACTTATCAGTTTATCTGAGGGGACTTCCCTGGTGGTCCAGTTGTTAAGAATCTGCCTTGCAATGCAGAGGACACGGGTTTGATCTCTGATTGAGGAACTAAGATCCCATATGCCATGCAACCAAGAAAAAGTATTTGTTGAACATTAAGAATATATTGTTTGGATATCTGTCATGGTAAAAATAAAATTTTTAAAAATCTATGTGAGTAAAGTAAATTTCACTAAGCTACAAAAGGGTGAATTTTTTTTATTGTGGTAAAATATACATAGAGTAAATGCACTCATATTATTATGCAATTATGCAATTATCTCTAGAATCCATCCCCAGAACTTTTCAAAAGGGTAAATTTTATGATATGTGTTATTAAAAAACTATCAAAACTGAAAATACCCAAAGGAACCTTTAGAGATAATGAAAATGTTCTTTATCTTCATTGGTTATATGGCTCACATTCATCAAAAGTGAATACTTAAAATATGTGCAGTTTATTGTATGTAAAATACACAATACAAAATTATTAAAACTTGCATTACATTGAAATATACATTTTAATTTTTAAATGTTTCTATAATGAGTAATTATATCCAAATAGTTCTAAAATACACATCCAGTTTCTTTAATAAAGTTGCAGAACTAATGGCAGAGATTTTTCTTTGGGTTTTAAAGTTTGCTTTCCAAAACTTTACATTAATGGATGTTATTTCTAATATTTATAAGATGAAAATGAATTTTTAAAGAGGAAAACTGTTGTCTGTTTTATAAGTAGTATGAATAAGCCATATGTTCACCTACTAAGCAGTTGTTGATAGTTCAACACATCAACTACCCTGCTATCAACTGTTGCAGCAACTGTGTAATGTGAAATTCCTAAATTATGGTAACTGATATATATAATCATCATTCATATATTTTATAATTTGAAGTTGATATTCATATTAAAAGCTTATCTAGCAAAGAACCAGCCTCCTACCCTTCAGATTCTTCAGTCTTTTCTCCACCATTATGAGTAGTACAATTTTCACTTTCTGAAGAACAATTCCTTGTGGAAGCTATACTATGTCTTCCTTAAATACAGAAACAAACACATACAAAAACAAAGCGGGGAGGTTAGCATTTCTAGCTGAAAGTGGGTTTTTACTTATTGAATGGTTATACTATAAATGCATGGTTTCCAAGAGTAGTTAATGATGGTACTTTGTTAGGTGCCTTAATATTTCTAAAGGTATATGAAAGAAACAGTATGAAAAACAGTCACAAACTGCTAACATTACACTGAAGATTAAAAAAAAATACTAACCTGGTATGTAGGGACAGGGGTCAAATGTTCAAAAGCCTACAACAGAATTTCTCTTCCTGAAGCAAATTTTTGTATCAATATTCTGCTACTGCTGAGATTAAAACAATTCACTACACTGAAGATTTCTAAAACCAGCTGTTATTTTCAATGTAATGTGGAGAACATCTCCCAGACCCTGCTTTTGTGTCATCTGAAGCTACTGTTGACTTTCATAGAGGGGAGCTGTAAAAAAGGTATCGTGAGAGACAAGCAAGATTCTCTCAGTTAACAAAAATTAAGTAAAAGGTACTGGTCAAATCCCTCTAAATTTTATGACACAAATAGGCTAACATAATGGAGTAGTAGATTTTAATATACTGAAAACCTTTTTTTTGGTAATACTGTTGGCCCTGTATGTTAACATCTAAATTTTTTAAAAATATAGCAAAGACAAATTTCTAAAGCTCAGGAAGATACAAACACTAACAGATTTTTCCCATTAAGGTTTCTATTACCCTTTAAATAAAGTTGACTGGAATGCATAATATTTTTCAGAATTATCATAAGGACAAATACTGCATTTTGCTTTTAAAACCTTACCTGTTTTAGAAACTGCATCCTGACCAACTGGAGTCTCCTGAAATTCTCCTTGTGTGTCAAGAAGCGAGGATTTGATGTACGTGGCTAAAGTTTCAACAGGACTCTCCCCAGCAGCCATGAGGGGACTATACTGGTTGTCCACAGGTGAACCGCCACTGCTCTTCAGCTCATCAAACCTCTTTGCGCACTGTGACGGCAAAAAGGGAGGAGATGCAGGTCTGGGGATTTTAATCAGTTTTTACAAGTGAAAAATTAATCTCTTGGGTAACATCTAGAAAACCAGTGCATATTTCAATACATGAAAACCTCTGACTTATTTTGTTTTTTAAAATTCAGGGTAGATTTTTTAAAATATGCTTTAACTCAAAGCCGTTATATATTTATATACTTGTAGGAAAATAAAGAATGCCTTCACTAACCATATTTCCCAATGATCTATGTCTATTATCAGTTGACAATTTAAAAACTTTAGTTAAAAACTTGGCTGTTATTTTCACACTGAGTTTCCACCAGGAACAAAACCAAATTCTAACCTTCAATAGAAAACAAATCAAAAAGTATCTGATTTGTGATCCTAGATTTTCTTCATTAAAATAATGAGTCTTTGTTCTTACCAACAGTGAGGTTCACTTGCACAAAATACTGTAGAAGCACTTATTTATGTAGTAACAGTGAGGTTCATCTTGCACAAAATACTGTAGTAACACTTAAAAACACTTATAAAACAAAATGCCTTCCTTAATGTGGGTCTTTGTCAGATAGCACTTCTATAGTATTCATGTTTAAACCTCCATCAACAGCAATGTGGATGGCAAGTTACATAGCAGACCAAGTAACATGGGAGGTGCAAAAGGAGAAAAATATATACTACGTACACACATATATGGTAAGTGAATAATGCATTGGGTATGGCATCATTCATTTACTACACAGATATTTACCAGGTACCCAGTAGATATTGAGCACCATTTTAATGAAGATTGTTTACTAACAGTATTATAGTACTATTACTACAAACAAATGCCTAATCAAGGTTTAGTCCTTTGAAAACACATTTAAAAGATATATAAGTAAAGGACTTCCCTGGTGGTCCAGTGGTTAAGACTTTGTGCTTTCACTGCAGGGGGTACAAATTTGATCCCTGCTCCTGCAACTAAGATCCTACAAGTCATGCAGTGTGGCCAAAAAAAAAAAAAGAAAAATTTTTTTCAACTGGGTGAATCTGAATACACAGTGGATATTAGATGATACGATGGAGTTACTGTTAATTTTCCTAGGTTTGACCATGGTACTATAGCTAAGTAGTTATATAATAATATTCTTATTTTAAGAGGTATGCTGCAGTCTATGGAGTGATGTCTGAAACTTACTTTTATTTTTTTAGAATATTTATTGGGCTGCATCAGGTCTTATTTGCAGCACATGAGATCTAGTTCTTTGACCAGGAACTGAACCCAGGCCCCCTGCACTGAGACCTCAGAGTCTCAGCCACTGGACCACCAGGGAAGTTCCTGAAACTCACTTTTAAATGTCAAAAAAAAAAAAAAAAAGCTACATAAAGAAATCAAGGAAACATCCTACAATTGCTGACCCCAAATAAAGGATATAGGAATGCTATGTTCTTCTTTTAACCTTTCTATATATTTGAAAATATTCACAATAAAAAGTTGGAAAAATGGTCAAATTCACACTTTAGACTTGTTTTAAAAGCTAACATGTAAAAATCCAAAAGACGAAAAAGTATAGATTAAGGAATGATAATATACACTAAGTAAGTTCCTTCATCATTTCACAAAGACTTATAATCAAGGGCAAGTAATCTCTGTGGGTATGTTTTCTCAGCTGTAAAAGAAGAGGGTAGAACTTGGTTCATTCACTGATTCTGTAAGTACTGAGAGTGTATCATGGGAAAGGCACTAGTGATAATGCTTAAAATCTACTGGATAAAATCACTAATGTCCTTTCTACTTCTAGAAACCTGAGATGATTCACTCGCTTTAGTGTTCCTTTCAATAGCAAAAATCCTGAGGTCCATGTGCTCAAACTAGAGTTCAGAGATGAATTGCCAGAAAGAGTACCATATAGGAGTTTTTAGGTTGCAAGTTTTGATTCTGAGGATTACATTAATAAAAATCATTTGAGTCATTAGGATGACAGAATATTTTAAGACAAAGGTAGAAAACAGACTTAGTAGAGAAGAGATGTGTTAATGCCAAGGGAAGGCAAGTAACGTTGTGGTGCAACACAAGGCTTCACCACAAGTTAAAGAGAGGAAAGCGGAGAAAGAACACAGGCTTTGAGGGGCTTTCAGCAATATAGGCCAAACACAAAGAATTTTGTGCCACAAAAGACTATACAATATTTGCATTATAATTGCAATTTAATTTCAGCAAAACACTATTACTGATCACATTAAGTTTATTAGTTTGAATTATGTTGGTTTGAGTTTCCACTTGTGTCTATAAAATGCAAAATTTGGTTTATGATTGCATAGGTGTGTTTATACCTGGTATTGTTAGTGCACATTTAATTTCCACTGTGATAGTAATTTGGGTCATCATTGCAAGTTTTCAAGTTTTTTCTTTTAAAAAGGTCTGTATATTACTCAATTCTGGGAAGCAGCAATTCAATAATAAAATTGGATTTACAAAAGTCTTACCTACCTATTCAGTTGTAAATATGTAAAATAAGGCTGAATTTAATCATAGCAGGTGGGTTAATAAATCATAGATCTACATAGATTTTATATAAGTCAAATCATATTTTATGCATATTTAGTTTTTACATGCATATGAATAGGTGAAACTCAAATACTTCTTCTTTCTTAGTAGTTACTCTTTTAAATTGATCACTTTTTCTGATTTCTTTTCAGTAGCTATCTGGAAGACTGTTATTTACCTCTTTGGGTGTTAATCCAGGCACAAGCCTTGCCACAGTTTCCCAATTGATGGTCTGGTGGATTCCAATTAATGGGTAAAGGATCATGTCCAATACCATTTGGTTGTTATTGTTTAGGAAATTGTTGTTTTCTGAATATCCACGACTCATCTTTTGGAACTAGAAATAGAGAAGACAAATTTATTTGCATCTGAAATCCAAATGTTTTCAGAACATTATAAGTCAGTTATAATTCATTCCTAAGAATTAACTGCTACTAAAAAAAAGAAAAAGAAAACTGAACTAAAAATCAACACAGAATATATAGCTCAAGTCTCTTCAAATATAACAGCACTTGAATATTATGGATTGGCAGATACACGGATAGAAGGATGTGTGCGCTTAGTTGCTCAGTCGTGTCCAACTCTTTGCAACTCCAAGGACTGCAGCCCACGAGGCTTCTCTGTCCAGGGGATTCTCCAGGCAAGAACATTGGAGTGGGCTGCCCTACCCTCCTCCAGGGGATCTTCCCGACCCAGGGATCAAACCCACATCTCCTACGACTCTTGCACAGCAGGTTGATTCCTTACTCACTGAGCCATCGGGGAAGCCTAGAAGGATATGCAGCTGGGTAAATATGTGATTTAAAAAATACGATAAAATGTTAAGGATAGAATATATGTGATGGGTATACAAGTGTTCACTATAAAATTCTTTTAATTTTGCTCTATGTTAAAAGCTTTTCATAACAAAACAGAGAAAAAGTTGAATACAATATATCTTCCTTAAAAAACCCCTTATGTGTGGCTGATTTATATTTTGATTAGCAGTTCATGGATGGTGGCGCTAAACGGTGAAAAAAAAAAAAAGATAGTTACATGAAAATTTCATTGCAGTCCCAAGCCATACTTTCTCACTCTGTGATTGAATGTCCATGCTACAATGAAGGCTGAGTATACTTAATTTGATAGATGTAAAGAGTCGGACACGACTGAGTGACTGAACTGAACTGAACTGGATCAAATGAAACTTAGAACCAAGTTAATCTGACATTTTAGGATAAGCATAATAGTTATTGTGCATGTGATTATGAATTACATATGGTGAGGAGATTATATTAACAAATGTAATTAGCACTGTTTTTATATGTTTGAAACATTTTTTGTAAAGTTCTCTTATTCCCTGTCTTCAGAAGCAATGTGGCAAGTGGCCTGACAAGGTTTAACCCTTACACACACCACAACACATACTCTGACTCTCATATATAAAAAGCCACAACACCTCCACACTCATGCACACTCACACTCACTCCTGCAGAATGTTAGCTTCCTCTGCTTCTTTACTAGGTTCCCCACCCTGGTCCTACTATCACACATCCTCTGGTTCAATCCAGGAGACCTTGAATCAAGTGACTAAGGGTGTGTCCAAAATCTTCAGGCAACATGATGACCAAGAAAAAAAGTCTCTAGAAGGCTTTCCAAAGGGATGTACCTCAATAAACATTTAGTGAGTACCAACTATAAGCTAGGCCAAGCACTGGGGACACCATAAAAAATACGGCATGGTCCCTGTCCTCAAGGAGTTTACTATCAGAGCTGAGGATACAGGTAGACAAACAGATGATTTTAATATCATCTGCTGAGAGCCAAGCAGAGGCGAGCCATGCAAGGGCAGAGGAGGGACAAATAATAACTGTTGTATTGTGGAGGAGGGGAAGACCGGTATGAAAGAGAAAAAGAATCTATCTCCTTCAACCTTAAGAGAATTTTAAGAACTTATTTATCGGGTGTTTACTAGGAGCCTGGATCTGTACTAAGGTTTTTATATAACTTATTTCAATTCTCATCACAACACTATAAGATAAGAGTCTTTCCCCAGTTTTACAAGATGAAGAAACACATTCAGGAAACTTAAATAATTTGGACAAGGCCACAGAGCTAATAAGAGGCAGAAGAAAGACCCAGGTAAAACTGACTCTCAGATCCATGCTCTTTCCATTATATTCGAGAAGTATAGAGTAGATAGCTAATGGGAATGATGGCTTAGGGTAGAGACAGACAGAGTCTAAACATTATGAAGTTAGTAATGATTCAATGAAGCAATTTCCAAAGCTTCTGTTTGTGAGCCAAGGGAGAGAAAAGGCTGTGGTACTGAAGGAAAAAAAGAAGCAACTCCCTTCAAATTTAAAAAATTTTGAGAATTTATGTCAATTATACTTCAATAAAACTGAAATCGTTAAAAAAAATGAACATTTACTGAGACTCCACCATGGACCAGGCATTGTATCTGAAGTCAGAATGGAAATTTACAGAAATGGCAACCCACTCCAGTACTCTTGCCTGGAAAATCCCATGGACGGAAGAGTGTGGTAGGCTACAGTCCATGGGGTTGCAAAGAGTCGGACACGACTGAGCAACTTCACTTTCTATGACTTTATTGGGCTCTAAAATCACCATGGATGGTGACTGCAATCATGAAATCAGAAGACGTTTGCTTCTTGGCAGGAAAGCTATTACAAACCTAGATAGTGTGTTGAAAAGCAGACACATTACTCTGCCAACAAAGGTTCATATAGTCAAGGCTATGGTCTTCTCAGTGATCACGTACGGTTGTAAGAGCTCGACCGTAAAGAAGGTGGAGCCCCAAAGAATCGATGCCTTTGAACTGTGTTGCTGGAGAAGACTCCTGAGAATCCCTTGGACAGCAAGGAGATCAAATCAGTCAATCCTACGGGAAATCAACCCTGAACACTCACTGGAAGGACTGATGTTGAAACTGAAACTCCAGTATTTGGTCATCAGATGCGAACAGCTGACTCACTGGAAAAGTCCCTGATGCTGAGGGCAGACAGAGGGCAGAAGGGCACCTGAGGATGAGAAGGCTGGATGGCATCTCCAGTGCAATCCAAACTTCGGGAGATGGTGAGGGACAGGCATGACTGGCATGATGCAATTCATGGGGTTGCAAAGAATGAGACACGACTGGGTAACTGAACAACAACAACAACAATGGCTTTATTGATGCTGAATCTGTGCTGGAAATATAACCCCTCAAAACAAAACTGTTCTTATGGAAAAATGTTACCTATTTTAGTAAACGAAGTATAAAGCAGAGATACACTGACACACTACTACAGTGGAAGAAGCAATGCACAGAGAAATCTGAAACTTAGGTTTGAGGTTTAACTCCACACAAATTAGTCAGAGCAGGTCATCTGAACTTCTGCAATGAAAATTAAGTGACAGTAATACCTATGAAAAGTGAAAGTGAAAGTCACTCAGTCGTGACAGACTCTTTGCGACCCCATGGACTAAACAGTCCGTGGAATTCTCCAGGCCAGAATACTGGAGTGGGTAGCCTTTCTCTTCTCTAAGGGATCTTCCAAACCCAGGGACGAACCCAGGTCTGCCACATTGCAGGTGGATTCTTGCGGATTCTTTACCAACTGGGCTATCAGGTATACCTCTAATTGACTTTATATAAATAACCAAAGAGATTATTTTGTGAAAGCACTGTGAAAAAAGCACCTCACAAATGTGATGCAGCATAAAATAACAGTACCTATGGTAAGGACCTAACAGAAGCAGAAGATATTAAGAAAAGGTGCTAAGAATACACAGAAAGTGAAGTTGCTCACTTGAGTCCAACTCTTAGTGACCCCATGGACTGCAGCCTACCAGGCTCCTCTGTCCACGGGATTCTCCAGGCAAAAACACTGGAGTGGGTTGCCATTTCCTTCTCCAATAAGAATACACAGAAGAACTGTACAAAAAAGATCTTCATGACCCATATAATCATGATGGTGTGATCACTCACCTAGAGCCAGACATCCTGGAAAGTGAGGTCAAGTGGGCCTTAGGAAGCATCACTATGAACAAAGCTAGTGGAGGTAATAGAATTCCAGTTGAGCTATTTCAAATCCTAAAGGATGCTGTTGTGAAAGTCCTGCACTCAATATGCCAGCAAATTTGGAAAACTCAGCAGTGGCCACAGGACTGACCTCAGGAAATGGTCAGTTTTCATTTCAATTCCAAAGAAAGGCAATGTCAAAGAATGCTCAAACTACTGCACAATTGCACTCATCTCACACGCTAGTAAAGTAATGCTCAAAATTCTCCAAGCCACACTTTAACAATACGTGAACCATGAACTTCCAGATGTTCAAGCTGGATTTAGAAAAGGCAGACGAAGCAGAGATTCAATTGTCAACGTCTATTGGATCATTGAAAAAGCAAGAGAGTTCCAGAAAAACATCTATTCCTGCTTTATTGACTATGCCAAAGACTTTGACTGTGTGGATCACAATAAACGGTGGAAAATTCTGAAAGAGATGGGAATACCAGACCATCTGACCTGCCTCTTGATAAATCTGTATGCAAGTCAGGAAGCTACGGTTAGAACTGGACATGGAACAACAGACTGGTTCCAAATAAGAAAGGTTCCAAATAGGAAAAGGAGTATGTCAAGGCTGTATATTGTCACCCTGCTTATTTAATTTATATGCAGAATGCATCATGAGAAACGCTGGGCTGGATGAAACACAAGCTGGAATCAAGGTTGCCGGGAGAAATATCAATAACCTCAGATATGCAGATGACACCGCCCTTGTGGCAGAAAGTGAAGTAGAACTAAAGAGCCTCTTGATGAAAGTCAAAGAGGAGAATGAAAAAGTTCGCTTAATGCTCAACATTGAGAAAACTAAGATCATGGCATCCGGTCCTATCACTTCATGGCAAATAGATGGGGAAACAGTGGAAACAGTGGCAGACTTTATTTTTGGGGGCTCCAGAATCACTGCAGATGGTGACTGCAGCCATGAAATTAAAAGACACTTACTCCTTGGAAGGAAAGTTATGACCAACCTAGTCAGCATATTAAAAAGCAGAGACATTACTTTGCCAACAAAGATCCATCTAGTCAAAGTTATGGTTTTTCCAGTAGTTATATATGGATGTGAGAGTTGGACTATAAAGAAAGCTGAACGCTGCAGAATTGATGCTTTTGAACTGTGGTGTTGAAGAAGACTCTTGAGAGTCCCTTGGACTGCAAGGAGATCCATCCAGTCCGTCCTAAAGGAAATCAGTCCTGAATACTGATTGGAAGGACTGATGTTGAAGCTGAAACTCCAATACTTTGGCCACCTGATGGGAAGATCTGACTCATCTGAAAAG